TTTATTTTTTAAGAAGAAGATTTTATATCCTATACTAATATTTGGGAAGTACATCCTAAGGATCATAACGTTGATTTTGTAAGAAATTACAATATATGCCATTAGAGAATTATAATTATAATCATTTTTTCCATGTCACTAATATATATTAACGGGTCAACGGGTCAAATGGGTTTAAAGATATTAAAGAGATTTTATTTATATATAATCCGAATTTATAAAAAAAATGTTCAATAATTCGAATTTATAAAAAAAAATATTATTTTGAATTAGTAATCATATATTAACGTTCTAAGTTATTAATAAATTATTCGAAAAATGTTATTGAAAATGTTATATACTAATCCATTATTCGAAAATGTTATTGAAAATATCATTGAAATTTTTTATATAAATCGAATTTATAAAAAAATGTTATTTTGAATTATAGTAATCGTATAGCTCGAAAATGTTCTTGAAAATGTTATATACTAATCCATTATTCGAAATCTATATATATATTTTTGGAGTACCCTTAGTAAATAAATCCTGGAGTTGAGAAGTATTTACAAGAAATGCCATTGGCTTTAATTCTAAAATTTTGAAAAACTTAATTAAAGATATTAACACAACGATTTAGATCCTAAATTATCTCTTAAAATTTATCTTTCCATACCTATATTCACTCATTTGCTAATTGCCATTTTAAAAAAAATTAATGCTAACAACAATCGTTTAAAGCTAATCTTATAGAAAACATGTTTCCAAAAATTGTAACTAAATCAATATTGTTTCTATATTAATTTGTGGCGTTAAAATATAATAAATGAAAGATTCCTAATTACTAGCATTTTCTTATCTAACAACTCAATTTTTGTTAAGATTTTTAAAGATAATGAATAAGATTTATTGGTATTAAACTCTAATTTCCTATATTTCTTACATAAAATATCCATAAATCGATTACATATTTATGATATCCCAACTATAATTACTAATCAATAGCAAGAAATATATTGCATATTCCTTTAAGTTAAAACGATTTCCAAAATTTTATTCCAAATATGCTATGGTTTCTAAGATATTATGCTTGCTCACCAAGATCTTCAAAAAACTAACTTATAAATACTCCCTATCATTGCATAATCTCTCATCATCAAAAACAAAGCAATTTTTTATTTTTCTAACAATCAAACCTTCAAATAATGGCTGCTCGGAGAAATTAAACAAGCAACCATGACGAAGAAGAAACTTGAAGAGTTGAAGATCTCATGAAAACATTTGTTTAAAGAGTTTGACAGCGAAAGAGATCACCACTAGCCATGGAAACCAGGGTTACAAAGCACAATGGAGATCGATTAGTGTTATTTTCTTCTTTTTCTTCAAATTAATAGGTAGAAAAGCTGATTGATGCGTGTGTCCTAAACTTGACCTTTCCATCGGTGATTTTAGCTAATTAAAAATATGTACATGTTTGGTTTTGTAATTAATTTGTTTTATTGAGATTTAATGAATTGTTAATTTTATTGTCTTCTAATCATCTTTTCTTATTTGTTTCAGAAAATCTGATACTGACATGGTCTCTAAAAAACCAAATAAAATACCTTCAAAGATTGTAGTGGAGAAAAAATCAGTTTGACAACAAAATTTTATTTTCTCTAGACTTAGTATTGATCAAAATACATATGTGGCTAAAAAAAGATGGTAGGGATTTGACAAAATGAAGACATAAACACATCTCTCATGGCTTCTTTTCAACGCTGTGTAGCTTTATTGATTTTTAATATTGTTTTTAGATTCTATTTTTTTAAAAGAGTTTATGTATCATATTAATATTATATTATTATTATTAGGTATCATATTATCAAAAAAATAAATATTATTTATTATTAATAATAGTTTTTTTGCTATAAATATATTTTATAAATAAGAAGAGTGATACCGACAAAAATAAATTAGAAAAAAGGGATTTACTAAAATGGCCGCAAGTCTTGTGAAATCAAGCAGGGGAATGCAGGCATACTATATACTTTTGCGGGTTCGTAGAATAGTTTTTTGCGGATTAAAAATCTTTAAACCCGTTGTGGGACGGACCTATCAAAGCGGGTTTGAACTATTAAACCAACAATAAAACTATTAACTTCTTGATTTATATTTTGGATTTGTATTCATGGTGTGGAATTAATTAAGTTACAAATGATATCCATATTTATTATACCATCTACAATATATTATACAAAGTAACACTTTCTTACTTTTAAAACAACTATTTTTAATTGATAAACTAGATCATGACCCGCACATACGTGCAGGGTTTCTTATTTTAAGAAAATGTGTTGTAATAAACTTTTTGTAAATACAGAATATTTTGTTGTTTGTTGATATATATTGTTATATATATATATATATATTATAATGTACACAGAAAATTGTAAAATGCTATTTATAATGTTTATGACACAATAACTAATGTTGTGAACCATATGTCAAATTTTGGAGTATGAAATTAGAGAGTAAATTAGAAAAAAAATCTTATTAGATAAAAATATAATATAGGTTAGATTGATATAAACAAATTTATTTTATATAGTATTTATAACACAATCTTATATTATTTGTGAGATAATCAACGACTTGGATGTATGCATAATATTTATAGGAAATAGATTGTACATGGAATTAGGTTTTAATTTGTGGATGATGACGAAAAATAATAATCTTAATTGCATATTTTAAATTTATGATGACGAAATTATTAAAAAAAATCTAAAAATTCCGATGATCCTTATGCATATCGCAAATATGGTGATTATGATTGTTCAAATACAATTAATGAGCTGTTAAAAAATTCTATTAATGTTTGTTCCCAGAAAAAATGCTATTCAAATTTAGTAGAAAAATAAGAATATTGGTGTGAATGAATATTTTCTCATTTTGAAGTATTTGCATTGAAATTTTAAACATTGGTATTTAAATTATATTTTAATGTTTTTTGAAAAATAAAGTAATCTAATTTAGAAGAATATATATTCCAAAAGCTTAATTTGAGACGTAATAAAATAATTTACTTGATTTTATATATTAATTTATTTGGCTTTAAATAAAATAATTTGGAGATATAGTAACTATTATAATACGTGTTAAAAATATATATTTTTATATAATTCAAATTTAGTTTAGTGATATATATTTAAGATAATGAAAACTACCCGTTTCTAAAAATATATTTCGAAATTTATATCATTTAAATTCTAATTAAAATGTAAAATAATTTAATCTATACTGAAAATATTATCTAGATATTTAGAATCTAAAATCCAAAATTATTTGTTGAATAGGTTATATTTTAAAGGATGGAAGTATTTAGTTTAGATTATATATGACATATATGCTAAATGTTTTTTCATATTTGGAAAATAAAATATTTAAATCGTTATTTTCATGTGTACTACTAATCAGAATTAATTAGCATAGTTTTGTTATGAAAATGTATTAAAATCTAAATTAAATAATAATTTGTTACATTAAATTAGACTGCCGAAAATATCTAATAATATATTACCAAAATAATATACAATTTCGAATTAAATAACTTGATTTATTATGGAATCTTCTTTAAAACTATTTCCAAAAATATAGGGCAGTTATTATTTTATTGGTTTATTTTTGTTTATTTAAAAAATGTTTATTTTCACTTTATTCAACTTTAAAAAAATCAGTGGCATTCTATGTAATATTCTACAACTTAAAGGTTTTTTATTATTTAGTGATTCCCAATTAATAGTATAGATTTCTAAACAAAAATATTTAATTTGTATATACATCAAACAAACAAAAATACACTAACCTACCATATATCTCTATATTATTCTACAAAACAGAATAAATCTAGAATTTTATATTTTATCTAATAAAAAATTTAATATAATAAAATAAACACATTTTAAGTTATAAACTATAAATAACATAAGAAAAAACATGTGTTTGGTACCACGGGTCCAAACAAAATGATAAATTAGTTAGACAAAAATAAATAATTGGAAATTAAAAAACCAAATAAACTGAAAATTATTATCTAAAATACAATAACTAAAATTTTGTCATACGGCGTACTGCCGGTTAAAATTCCGTGATTTTGATGGGTCAAGTCAAAATCTTTTTCTATAAATATGTGGCCATATAAAGCCAAATAATACTATACTTTAACTATAAGAGCTACATCTTATTAAAACTCATACACGATCAATCGGTCTTCTATATAAAAAAATTCACAGCAATAAATTTTTTTAAAAATATAGCCCCGCGGTGTACCGCGGGTTCAACTCTAGTTTAGAGATAATTGGCCAGGAGACAAGGATTTTGAGTCTAATTAGTTTTTCATAAACTCTTGTCGTGGTCCATAACATAGAAAATTTCAGCTCCTCTTTTTACCAAAAATAGCTTTACGCGTGTTTCCACGCGTCTCTCTCATTTATGCAAACTATCATCTCTCTTGCGTGTCCAACCTCTCTCTTCTACATCAATCCATCAGTTTTTTTATTTTCTTTCAATCACTGTATCTTTTCTCAGGCGACGTTTCTTTTTCCGCCGTTGTTTCTATTTCTCGCAGTCACCAAGAATTTTCATCTTCTTTTACGGTATGGAGTTGGTTCTTTTAAGAGTCGGTCGGTTTAGTTTCATCCGCGTTTTTCCAGAGTTTTCTTGAGTCTTATGAAATCTTAGGTCGATTTTGTTTGTTTTTGTTCTCCTAGTCACCGTCGTTGGTTTTAAATCTACAGTTTCTCCGTCATTTGCCAAAAAAAACCGGCCATTCTATATTAGTCGTTTCTTCTTCCCAGATCTTGGATATTCACAAATCAACATAGATCGATACTTTTCGTGTTGGACATTCACAAATGAGCATAGATGTATACTTTCGTGTTTGCATGTTCATAATTTTGTTGCGGCTCCAATAACTAACGAAGATCTTCACCTTTTTCGTCAGGACTATAGCGGATCTAGACCTTCCTGCTAGATTATTCGCCGATCGAGAAGAACATGTGGGTGAGCGTGTTAACCAGCACTTCAAGGTACACATGATTAAAGCTGTCCTGAAGGCTTTACAACCGACGAAGCTTGAATTGATTCGACCGTGTTTTGGGAAATTGCTCGATTCACATCGCCATTGTTTATTCATCGGAAAAAGATAACTTTCATGATACAAATAAGGATGTAAAACATTTTTTGGATCTTCACAAATAGATCTACAAAGTATAGATGCAAATCTAAGGATATTTGTGGAAATGGGTCAAGATTTAGAAAAATACACTATAATACCAAAACAAGAAATTTTAAAGTGAAAAGGAAGAAGTCGATGGAGCATAGCCTATGCATGAAATCAATCAAAACATGCTTTTTTCCTGGAAAAAAAATTCGAATTTCATAAAAAATTCTCAATTAGTTAATGAATTAATTTATCTATAAAATTTAGATACACGTTCATCTACTTTCATAAAGTCATATATCGAACTATAAGTGCTACATTTATTAATACATATCTACGTTATTAGGTTAGTGATTTAAATTTTCTAATTTGCGTCAATAAGTTTTTGTTATAGATTCAAATGTAGGTGTCTAAATACATTTTCTATTGGACATGCACAGATGAAGTTTGGTGGTGGGCCACGTAAGGATCATTTATTAGTTCAACTGGTTGGCATTTATGAATTGTCAGAATGTTATTTCACTTACTCGTAAAGCCGTGTTGGTATCGCCCACGCGCATATATTTCACGAGCTCTGGTTTTTCTGTAATAAGTATGTAAATCAGACTCATTTTCACCAATTATTATTCTCTTGTTAGGGACAAGTCAACCATAATGTCGAATTCCTAATTTACGTTCCCATTTTTCCTTCTGCACAAATTCACCCTTATATTTATTACAAAGTGGATAAGGTTTGCAATAATCCGTAAAAATACGAGTAACAAAAAAAAAAAAAAAAAAAGACAAGAGAGATAAACATTGGCCGGTGGCCTCGTCACAAATCCAAAATATCCCAAAAGGAACCGAAAACGAAAACGAAAACGAATAAAGCCAAAGCCTTTCTTCTTCTTCCGATTATTCCCAAACACAAAAATACTGCTGAGATAAAGCAATCCACAAGATTCGATTCTAACTTTTCCATTTTTCTCTAAAAGTTTCGATTTTGATTTTGTTGTTGAACGGAAAAAAGAATCAGCTCCATTCACTTTAGGGTTTTGGGTTTCTGTTTTTTCTCTATCAGATGATGTGCGAGGAGATTCTTCCTCTGTTTGTCTCTGTTTCAGATGGAAGACAATGATAAGTCTCCCCCTAAGGTAAAAATCACATGTCTTTCGTTTCAATTTTGCCTTGGAAAAATGCGTGAGCTCCATTAGATAATGTCTGGTTTTGCTTTGAGTGGAATATGAAGATTTGATACAGTTTCGTTTAGTATTACTCTTAGATTCAAGGGTTTATTTATGAATTCTCTAATTGAAGAAAGGATTACTTTAAAATTCTGGGAAATGATTATGTTTGCATGTTTTCTCTTTTCATTTTCAAGAAGCCCATTTGATTTTTATTTGTAAGTTTTTGTTTGTTTGTTTGTTTGAAGGATTACTATAAGATTCTAGAAGTTGATTACGACGCAACTGAGGAATTGATCAGACTCAATTATCGGAAGCTTGCATTGGTATGTGAACTCAAAGACCTGTCCTCCGTTTGCTTTGGATTGATTTTTATGGTTCTGGATTGGAAGAAAGTTTTTGCTGAGAATGTATTTGCGGTTTCCGTCTACAGAAGTGGCATCCTGATAAGCACAAAGGCGATAGTGCAGCTACAGAAAAATTTCAAGAGATTAATGAAGCTTATAATGGTATGTCTTTCTTTTGCATTGTCGGTTTCTATGCATCGGAACATCAGTACCCCGTCTAGAAAGTGGCAAGCTTCAGTGATATTTGCTTTTCTTCATTGTTCTAGAAAGAATAATTCATGACGGGGAAGAGAATGAAATTAGAAAATATGAAAAATGTAGAAAGCAGATGGACGTTTTAGGAATAGTAGGAATGAAAAAAGCTTAGCAGTGAGAGAATAAATCACTAAAGCCTTCTGCTTTATCCATTTAGCCCCTTAACCCTTATAGTATATTAGCTCTGCTTTAGTACTGATACAACTCTATATGGTTTCAGTCCTCTGGTAATTTTAGGTTCCCTCTTCATCTCTGCCTCTCTGTTTAATTATTTCTCTAAGTTGTTACAGTTTGTTTGTTTGTCATATATGTTTTCCATCGACACTTGAAAATATGATAGAACAATGCTCTGTCTCTCTTTCTCCCTCAAGCAATGTCTCAAGTCAATTTTTTTCATAATGTGGTTTAGCTTCTTCTTTTTTTTTGGCAGTGCTGATGGACCCTGCTAAACGTTTTGAGTATGATTTCACTGGTATTTATGAGATCCACAAGTATACTTTACGGGTATGTATCATATCATTTTGAGATTTACACACAATTACTTTACATTTGAACAAAAACATGGGATCTAGGTTTTGACTGACTATCTGAGATATCCCAAATTCATTCTTCAACGCAGGAATATCTCGCCAGATTTAAGGGGATGATACTCACTTGCAATGGGCTTGGTATCAGCCAATCCTCATCACCATGGTAACAACCTCTTCAGATTATTCACTGATTTTTTCCTCCACAATGTCTAATTCTTATATTATATCATATCACAAAACTATGCATATAGTAGCTTGTCTTCATCGGTAAAACTTTGCATGCAGGACACATCAATTGGCGGAGACCACCAAACAACAGACGAGCAAGGTACATTTACTTTTTCTTTTCTCTCTTCATGGCATTGCGAATTAACTATATAAGTCCTGCAAAACCTATTTGAAACCTAAACTCTTGGATCCATTTCTGTACTCATTATCTTCACAGGATACTGTATAAACTGAAGCAGAAGTTAGAAGAGATCTGTAAAACTGTACAAAACTGGAGCTATAGCGCTTTTTATCGCTCATTGATGATATAGTGAAATGCTTTAATTAGGTCTGTTGTATTGTTTCTTTATCGATGTAGAACTAGAGAAGCTTGTATTGTCTCTGGCTTCTATTCATACATTCACACATTGGTGATGGTTCCAATCTTTTACTACTCTACTATTCTCATCATTCATGGTTTTTTCCAGACTTTAGACAGAAAGTGAATAATACAATCTATGAAATGAAGCTTCAATCTTAGACATGTATTTTTAGGCTTTGTAGCTAGCTGGTCAATTATTCAGTGTAAGACACTGTTCTTGTTTTTCGAGAAGTAAAATTGTTCTCTTACAACACACTCTGGAAGCTTGATTCAAAGTGACAAGTAAAGAAACTTGAGAAATGATATACAAACTTTGTAAGACATACAAAAATTGATACAGAAACTTTGTTAAAGAATACATAAACAAACATTGGTATACAGTATATAAAAGGATGTACAATTCCAAACTGAAAACTGAAATAAGTCAGTCACCTGAGAAGAGATGGCTTAATATGAAAGAATCCCAACTTGGTTTCAAAGGACCTGCGTTTTTCATTTCAAGGGCAAACATCCTCTCGGAGAGCCGGTTATACAGACAATGCAAGCTTCGATACTAAATGTCTGTCAATAAATCCACTATGATACTATGCAGCTTATGCGCTAATATTAACAATCTCTATGGTTTCTCCTAATACATATGAACATGTGAAAATTAGCTCATTCCAGAGTATCTCAAAATTGGCTTCGAAAGATCTGAGTTGATCTTTCCAGGAGCAAACATTTTCTTAGGAAGGAGCCTGACCAGGATAAAAATATCTTGCAAGCTTCCCTGAGATACTTAAGATGATGCGCTTAGTCCTAATTAGCTTCACTATACGTAACATTCATTTGGCAAAATCCCATCTTCTTTCATTTTTCTAAACAGCGCATCTGCTTCACCCCGTAGCCCTTTCTTGTACAACCCTAACATCATTGCAGTGTATGTCCAAATATCAGGCGTTAGTCCTTTGAGATTGAGGCTACAATATAAATCCCAAGCATCTGCCACCTCACCAGCCTTGCACATCCCGCGAATGATGATATTATATGTAACGATATCGGCATCCATCCCACTCTTCTGCATATCTGCCAATATCACCAATGCTTTCTCTATCTTCCCATTATCGCATAGACCATGTAACAAAACGTTGTAAGTGATAATATTAGGAGGCACACCACAAAAAACCATCCGTTTGAAAATTTCTTCGGCAACATTAAGTTTACCCGCTCGACAATAACCCTGGATAAGAACTGTATAAGTGACTGTATTTCTAACCACTCCTCTCTGAGACATCTCGCAGAATAGTTTCATCCCAAGCTCTACCTTCTTAGACTTGCAATATCCATTAATGAGAATACTATAAGTTACAACATCTGGAAAGCAGCCCTTGCTAACCATAAAACCAAACAATTGCTCTGCTTCATCTAGGCGACTGTACATGCAAAGCCCGTATATCAGTAAACTATAAGTAACAATATCAGGATCCAGAGATCTTCTGATCATCTCCTCGTACAATTCTTCAGCCTCAGAAATCCTTCCTTCTTTCACACAAGCATCAATCAACGCATTGAAAGTAAATACATCAGGGTAGATTTCCCTCTTGGTCATACAGCTCACCATTCGAGTAGCATCATCCCATCTACCCGAGTTACAAAGTCCAGAAATAAGAGAGTTGTAAGTAACAGCGTCCGGTCTAATCCCATCTTTCTCCATCCGGTTCAAAAGATCCAACGCATTATCCACCTGTTTGCTTTTGCAAAGACCATCAATGATTGTATTGTAGATCACAACATTAGGCATATATCCCATTTCCACCATTCGATCAAACATATACAAAGCATCGTAAATCCTATCACCGCGACAGAAACCGTTAAGCAGAGAGCCAAACGTGACAATGCTAGGCTCATGACCAAGTTTCATCATCTTCCCAAGAAACGACAACGCAAGAGAAAGCTGAGAACATCGACAGAAACAATTCAACAAGATATTACAAGTACAGAGATTATGTGGAATCCCCAACATTTGCATTTGTTCCCAGAGATAGATCACAACATCATACTTCTTCATCTTGGAAATAGCACTTAATAATCTACTAAAATCAGCTATTGAAGGAAGAGGACGACACTGAACCATGTGAAAGAAGAGATCAAGCGAATCATCTAGTTTCATATATCGAATCCCATTTCTCAACTTATTTCGATAATCATTGCCACCGGAATAAGCTCGTCTCGAGAAACAGAAACCGCAAATGCTAAATGACGACGACGGAGAAGTTCCGGAATTACCTTTATCCAGAAGATTCCGATGAAGAAACGACTTCGCTTTCGAAGAAATCGATCTCCTCATGCTTCGAAGCTTGAGTTTTCGTTCTCAATCTCAGGATTGTGGAGAGAGCTTCAAGGACGAGAGAAGTGGTAAAACCTCCCCAATTCTTAACCGGTTTAGAATTCACCTGAATTTTTATTGGGGTTTTCGGTTATTTTAAGGGTTTTAAACCAAACCGGATCAGAACTAATCGGTTAAACCTCGGTTCTGATTTCAATAAACAACATGCATTATGTTAAGTAGTTCAATGTTTTCTTAAGAGACAAATTTGGACATTAATGACAAAACATGGGGAAATTATTGAAGTTTGGTCGGAAATTTCAGGTGACGCTAATTAGTAGTACTTCTTAGAAAGTTAATCATTTTATTTTGTTTTGTACATTTCAACATACATAGCGGTTTAAGTATAACTTGTACATAATCGATCTACCTACGCAAAGCATGAATGATAATCTAGTAATTATATATTTTATGAAAGAGATAAAACCCATCTCTCGACGTTGTGTTTTTTATTTAGCTTTAATTCATTTTACATTAAGAATATTCAACAGCAATTTTACAAATAACAACGCATAACAACAGCAATATTATCAAATTTGTAGCAAATTAAGAAGGATTTTAAAGAAGTTGGCCACTTATCCACCTCTGAAACAAGATAAAGCTTTCATTTGGTTTATATTCTGCTGTATGTCCACCTCCCTGTAAATCAAAACAAAATCTTTTAAACAAAATAAAAACCATTTCTTATGCAATGTTAGGGAAAATATTTATATAATTTCACTAGAAAAAGAGAGAAAATAAACTTGCTTTGACAGTAGCAAATGTCATTTTATTGGCATAAGTTTGAGTGTATCCAGCAACTTGATTGTTTATCATCCATGGCCTCCAATTATCAGTAATGGAATAATTAAGAGATCTTATCCATGCTTGTGTTGAGAGGAACGGCACCTCCATGTCGTGATCACCACTATTCACCAAAAAAAAATCTCAACAAAATTCTATACAAACTCTTAAAAATTTGTTTAAGGTCAGAAAGTTGAAAATCATTCAATCTAACCTATAGATGAGAGATCGGTAGCCTTTGATACTGTTATTCATATGGTATGGTACACTGCTTTTAATGTTCTTATTATAAGGAATCCCCACATAACATCGTACCCATTTTCCTATACTTCCCTGAAATCATATTAAGAGTTTCGACATTATTTCTTTACCAATAAAATCATAACTTGTCATATATCTTTATATATGTTACTTCTGATATACCTTTACCACATGAAGTGCTTCACGAACGCTCTCATTATTGGCCCAGTGGGAAGATATCAAGTCTGTATATGTCTACAAGTTGGTGCAAAACCAGTCTTGTGTAAATATTTTTGTCTCAATGATTCATTAATTACTTTTCCAATATTGATCCAAATACATAGCATATATGAAGAGCAAGAAGATGGATTTGCGTACATAGCAATCAGTAGATGGAACCGAAGGGTTTGCAAGGACGAGTTCTTCAATGTATCTTCTTGGGGACGACGCCATTTTGCACAGTGGTTCTAAAATATAAGCCAAATTTATTCCTGAAATACACTGCAATTGTAAACAAAACAAAACAAAAAATGAAATCCACAAAATAAATTGTGTACTATTTCTTTTATGTTTTTCGCGATTTAGGAAATGATATTAGACCGATGAGCAATTGAACATGCATTATAACAATTACATGATACAAGTACTTGTATCATGAGTGTATACCTTTTGGAATTCTTCAATGAGGTTCAAGCATTCTATGTTAAGTGGATCTACATTTGCATAATTTCCTTTGCAGCTTCTCGTCAACGACTGCATAAAACAGAGTTTTGAATTGTTTTTTTCTCTGTTGTTGTCGATCTAACTTCATTAATGTGGTATATTTTGTACCTCGTAGAGTTCATCAGAGATCAATGCCATTCCATGAGCAAATGGAATTTGATAATTCTTTTCACACTCGGTGTTTGTTGCTGGGTTTCCTAGCACATAACCCTATTGTTGAGAGAAAATAGTAAAATTGTCAATTTTAATTTTAGTTGCAAACTATTTATATAACATATGAAGCAGTCAAGTACACAAAGACCTGAAGATTTATCTGATGTTCGAATCCAAGATCATTTCCTGCATCATGTAAAGACTGTATTAAAGTGGGAAATATATAATTAATGTAGAGGAAAAGAAATTAATGAAAGACACACATACATACCTTTAGAAATTTCTTGAACGGTGGCCGGAACAATCTTACCAGAATACGAATCTCCGCCGACATATAACGGATTCGATATAAACTCTGTATGCTTGCTTAGCCACTGAATGACCAAAAAAAAACCACACTCTAAATTAGTGTCTATATACAAAGATAATGCTTCAAGAGACAATTAATTAAGTTTTGTCTTTTCACCTTACGAAGAAACTCATGGATCCGCTTAGCTTCTCCCGAGTCACTTGGTGTATCAAGAAGTTGAGTTGTGGCGTAGGAGAAGCCAGTCCCAACAGGCTGGTCCAAGAATATCATGTTCGCCACCTAAAAACAATGATCCAAAACTTAAAAACAGTTTATCCAATTGAGAATATTAAAACGATCCACATGAGAAGCATTTGTTAGTGTTACCTTTGTCCATGCATATGTAGTAGAAACCAAGGTGGGGCTACCTCCATTGTAATCATCAACCTTTAAAGTCACAGGTCCTGTTTATTTTTTTTCAATTCAAACCATATTTTTCCAACAGGTTAAAATTGCCAAAAATTGAGTCACAGAAAAATGTGCAACAAAAAACAGTTGATACAATTTCTAAAAGTTTTACCGTTCTCCAAAAGAAGACCAGAGATAGAAGAGCAACCAGGCCCACCGCTTAACCAAAGAAGAAGAGGATCTTCTTTTGGATTATTCTCAGACTTTATAAAGTAGTAAAACAATTGCACTTCTTCTTCTTCACCAACACCAATATACCTTCATTATCGCAACAATCGATTTATAGTTTAGGTTTCATTCTTTAACACAAATACACACACATGCATGCATACAAGAAGATCATCATCATATATAAGAAAAAGATACAAACCCGGTTTCTAGCTCGAAGGGAAGAGGACCTTCAAAACCAGGAAGAAACTTGACAATGGAACCAGAATTTGCATGTGGACTCAATATAAGTAAAAGAAGCAGCACCAGCAACATCTTTGCCATTATTTTAATTACTCGTCGTTATTGTTTTTTGGAGAAAATATGGAATATCTATTTACAAGAAATGAAGAAGTGGGTAGGTAGCTAGGTAGTGGTGTTTTATTTTCACTTTTAAATGTTTCTTCATAACTACCGTCTCTATTTACTATTTACGATTTTTTATTTTTTTGGTAATGCCTGACATTATCCATCATGCACAATAAATAAATTTACCAAACACTTATTTTTCAAGGTAGGAATTTTTTTTTAATTGTTTTACACAAAAAGAAAAATATTTTAGTTGTCAACGCACTCTTTTCGAATAAACTAGATACAACTATTAAATTGTTCAACAAACTTTTTAAAGTTTTCCATTACAATCAAGTTTGTTTTGTTGTACACTTCCGAATATTTATTCATAATTTCTTTTTCGCCAATGCCATAATTTTAATGGTTAATACTTCATACAAAAAAATTTATGGAAAATATCTATATATATATATATATATATATATATATACGGCCTACACAATTTTTGTTTTGTGTAATTTAGTAGTTTTGTTTTGTCAACGATCATCTAGACAAAACCTTAGCCGAAATCAAACTGAAAATTTGATTAGACATCCTTAACCCAACTCTTTATTTATCTTTCCATCAACGATGTTTATTCAACAGAATTTCTACAAATAAGAATGCAAATATATTATGAATGAATTGCAAAGAGGCAATTTTATAGAAGTTGGCCAGTCAACCATCTCTGAAACAGGATAGAGCTTTCCACTGGAGTATGTTCTGCTGTATGCCCACCTCCCTGTAAATTAAAATTCAAATCTTTATATGCAAAGTTAGGGAAATTAAAGATTTGTATAAATGCAATGGAAAAATAAAAGACTTGCTTTGACAGTAGCTAATGTCATCTTATTGGCATATGTCTGAGCGTATCCACCAACTTGATTGTTTATCATCCATGGCTTCCAATTATCAATGATGGAGTAATTAAGAGATCTTATCCATGCTTTTGTTCCGATGAAAGGCACCACCATATCATGATCGCCGCTATTCTCCAAAATAAAAATCTCAACAAGTTTTATATCAACTCTTGAAACTTTGTATAAGATTAGAAAGTTGAAAATCCATCAATCTTACTTGTAGATGAGAGATCGATAACCTTTGATGGTGTTATTCATATGGTATGGTACGCTGCTTTTAATGTCCATATTATAAGGCATAGCGTAGGAAAAATGGGTAGAAAAACCCTCACCTTTCTTAAAAACATAGAAAAAACCCTCAACTTTTTTTGTGGGTTTTTAAACCCCCACTTTTTCATAAATGGTAAAATAAACCCTAGTATTAATAAACTTAATTTAAATTCAAAAAATAGTTATACTAAAACATAAATAAATAAAAACAATTTGATTTAGGGTGTTTTTTCTAAAATTCTAGTTTATAATATTTTTCTATTTTGAAAATATGTAAGTCACGATGTAAAAAAGTTAACTAGTGAAGTTTTATTCGGTGTGTTACAAGAATTCATCAACATGAAACCAAACCGATTTTATTACGAATTATATGTAAATTCTTATATCGAAACCGAATATGAGTTTTGATTAATAAAGGTTTATTAGGTTCGGTCTCACAAATTTACTAACGTAAAACCAAACCAAATTTTATAATACTACGAAAAGTACATGAATTTCCACATCAAAATATTTTCATTGGACAAACTAAATAAAATTGACTAACAATTAAAATTTCTATATATATATATATATTACGATATATTAAAATATAATATAAATTATATTTAATTAATCATTATTTAACTATATTTTTATCCAAAACTAGAACACTCGAATAAAAAAATAATCAAATGTGATATCCTATAAATTTTTGTAGTTTATATAACATAACTTCTAATTGTAACAAAAATAATTTGCCTAATCTCAACTTAATGGTGAATAAATGTTCATAGCGCAAAAACCCTAATTTTAGAAAAAAAAATCGTAAACTCAAATTTGAAATAAAAAATCATAAATTAAATTATTTTTCTTTCTTACAGTTTTAATATAATGATTTTTTAAAAAATTAAATTAAGTTTATTAATATTAGGGTTTATTTAACCATTTATAAAAAGGTGAGGGTTTAAAAACCCACAAAAAAAGTTGAGGGTTTTTTCTCTGTTTTTAAGAAAGGTGAGGGTTTATTTACCCATTTTTCCCATAGCGTAAGAAGCACATCGAACCCATTTTCTTATACTTCCCTTAAGTCATAAATAAGAAGTATATTTGGAATGGTCATTTGTGTAAAAATTTCGGCCCAAAAATCTCAAATGTATATGTTATAAAAGTTCATTGACATGAATATTCAATATAATATTTATAAATACTCTTCAAATCTAAAACTAAAATTGATCTGATGATTTGAAAAAAATACTTTCAAATCTACTGCTATCATAAATATATTAAGCATTACTTTTATAATGACTTTTGTGCGTTTAAAATGATTTCTAAATATAAATAAATACTATTGTCAAATATTGTAATAACAAATCATAATAATGTTTCTAAATTGATCCAAAACTATTAATAGTTTTTTTAATATCAAAACTCAAATCCTTCAAAATATTAGAGTTTCGATAAACTGTGACTTAAAACCAAAACTTGTCACATATGATACTTCTATATACCTTGACCACATGAAGTGCTTCGCGTACATCATTGGCCCAGTTGGAAGCTATCAAATCTGTATATCTCTACAAGTGGGTGAAAAACTAATCTTGTGTAAATACTTATGCGTCAATGGTTTGGTTATTCATTACTTTCCAACATATAAATATATATATATATATATGACAGTAAACATAAAAATAGACACAAGATGGAATTGCTTACATAGCAATCAGTAGATGGAACCGACGGGATTGCAAGTACGAGTTCTTCAATGTATCTTCTTGTGGAGGACAGAACTTTGCACAGTGGTCTTGTAACAAGATTTATATTTATTTTAGCAGTGCACTGAAAATTTAACCACACCAAAAAAAAAAAAAACAATTTAACTCTACTTTGTTTTTTTGTTCAAAAAATTTAACTCTACTACATAAGTTTTTTACTAACTTCTGTGTTTTTCTTGATTTAGGAACACTGAATATAATTAGGCTGACGAACAATTAACACTTACCCTGGCTTTATTAGGGTCACAATTTTTTGTTTTCATTATTTTGGGCCCCGCATTTTAAAAACCATTGATTTTTAGGACCACAAAATTTAAAAACAAAAAAAACAAAACAATTACCATGTTGTTTATATATATATGAGAAGTCATTTTTTGGTTTGTTTTAAAATTGTTTTTTTTTCATACCAAAGTATTGTTGTTTAGAAAACATTCTAAACAAGATTTTGCACATGTTTTCAAGTTAATACTATTTCGAGATTTTGAATAATAAATATCAGAAATGGCCACATTATTTTCTTGCAGATATTCCAAAAAAAAAAAAAAAAAAAAAGGGAACAGCTAGAAAGAAAAGAGATGTATGTAAGAAATAAGAACACACACATATATACCTTTGGAGATTTCTTGAACGGTTGCCGGAATAACCTTACCAGAATAAGAATCTCCTCCGACATAGAAAGGATTTGAGATAAACTCTGTATGCTTGCTTAGCCACTGTATAACAACAACAACAACAACAATGTTGCCATACTTGCATCAACCTGAAAACTAAATTGAAGCTTGATACTCGACGAACAAAAACCAAACCAATCGCAATTGAGGAAGACAAAGAATTCGACAACTCAATCAAGCACGTAATGAAAACAGAGAAGAACAAAAGAAAAAAAGAAGCTGGTGGCATGCGATGTTTACGAGTCTCAATCGGTGTTATCGATACTACTTCTCGTCTATAACGGAATCCAGCAATACGTCTAGAGCTTAACCAGGTGATTCGTATTTACCATTCAACAAACACTACTAACAAAACCACTCTAAATAATGTCTTTCTAGAAAAATATAAATGCTTCAAGAAACACTTTTTAAGTTTGTATTTATTTTACCTTACGCATAAACTCATGGATCCGCTTAGCTTCTCCCGAGTCACTTGGTGTTTCAAGAAGTTGAGTTTTTGCGTAGGAGAAGCCAGTCCCAACAGGCTGGTCCAAGAATATTATGTTCGCCACCTAAAAACAATAATCTAAAACTTGAAAAACTACATCAAGAATACTAAAACGAGCCACATGACAAGCACTCGTTGTATAATGTTACCTTTGTCCATGAATATGTAGTAGAAAGCAAGGTGGGGCTACCTCCATTGTAACCATCAACCTTGAATGTCACAGGCCCTGTTTATTTATTTTCAATATAATAAACAAAGTATTTCTAAAACTATATTTAGATAAATAAAATTAAAAATTCATTTGTTGTGTTTGATTTAAAAAAAAAAAAAGAATTTTACCGTTCTCAAAAAAAAGACCAGTGGTGGAAGAGCAACCAGGTCCACCGCTCAACCAGAGAAGAAGAGGATCTTCTTTTGGATTATTCTCAGACTATATAAAGTAGTAAAACAATTGCACTTCCTCTTCTTCGCCAATACCAATATACCTTCATTATCACAAACCATTGATATACTAATACACTCTTTAACCCTTAAAACTCAAAAACACATGCAAGAAGATCATGTGATATTAGAAACACAAACCCTGTTTCGAGCTCGAAAGGAAGAGGACCTTCAAAACCAGGAAGAAACTTGACAATGGAGCCAGAATCAGCATGTGGTGTCAAGACAAGTAGAAGCAGCAGCATCGTCAACTTTATTAGTACCATTGATGAAACATACTCATGATTAGTCATTCTATTTTTGTAGCTTCTAAGTTCTAATGATGAATTCGATTCCTTAAATACAAACACATGTTTATAAACTACTAAAAGAAGAAGATGGACTAGTTAGGTAGCGTTTTTTAATTATTTTGAATAGGGGCCCCTTCTTCCCCATATTTGTGTGGATGAGCAATTTCCACATTTGTAAGGTTGAATTTTTCGACATTTCTATCCAAAAAAAAAAAAAGGTTTGAGACTAAACAAGGTTAATTAAACTGTGTGTGATTAAAGTTAAAATCAAAATTTTCGGTGGAATAACAGATCGATCAACCTAATTTTTATGTAAAATCAGTAGTATACTACAAAAAAAAGAATGAAACTCCTAGGGCCAGTATTACATTTGTTCGACTTCGACAGAGAAGCCACATTTGCAGCGTTTTGTTTTCACAGAGGTTTCCTCATCAAAGGTTTCATGCTCATCAAGAAACACATGTTCATGGCTTTCATCTTCATTACGAGACTTTCTTACTCGTGACTTTTCTCCTCTCTTAGCCACTCTCTGCTTTTCAGGTGCTTTCACATTCTTTGCCTTAACGACCGTGTCTGAATTCACTTCCAAACTCTTGGTTTCGACATCGTTAGAGTTATTAGCGTAACGACTTTTCAATCTTTCACGGGTTAAGATAGACGAAAGAAGCTGATACCATCTCGAAGCTGCTTGTGCTTCATCTCTTCTTCTCTCCTCTTCTTCTCTCTTTTCTTGTTCTTCTGCATATGCCTAACCAAAACCAACAAAAAAGAAAAGAGATAACCAACGGATCCATATTCAAAACATGGAATTCTCTGTGTTTCAGATTGAAAATTAAAGAGATTATACCTCGAGGATTGTGTCTTTGAACTCGGTACAGACCACAATACCTTCAAAAATCGGAGTAGCACCTCCACTTCTGTACTCGAAACCAACCATGGCTGGTGCATAATCTATACCGAATCTCTTAGCAACCGAAAATATCCGAGGAAACCTTAAGTGTACTGTTCCAGGTGGGAGACATTTCTCAGACCAGACATCAACTTGACCCCGTTCGTTCTGAAAGAGAAGAAAAGGATTATACACTATTCCCGTCTACAAAGTATGTTAAGTTTTGTTTTGAAGTATTAATTGAGTTGCAACTGCAGAGGGATAACTTTTTGAGAGACTTCTACGGATTCCATGGAACATATATAAACAAGGACAAACACAACAAAATTGTTTTTACCTTGGGCACAATTCCATTAACAGCGTGAGGGAGACACAATGGTTCCATTTGCCACTTTCCATATAGTTCCATGCAATAAGAACCACCGTTAATGTTGTTGTCGCCATCTCCCAAATCTTTTGATTTCTTGAACTTCGAGTTCCGCTTAAGAATCTAAGGTATTAATGGACTTCAAGAGTTACTCATCAAACCGGGAAAAAAGAATGACTAAGATAATCATCAGGGAGAGAACAAAACATGGAAACCTTTGAGGGAACTTCATTCGCCTTAAGTTGTAGCCCATCACGAAGCCATCTTTCTTTTGTTTTAAGAGTCTGCACACAGGTTCGAGGATATACTGGATGACCAGAGCAAAATCCCAGAACTGGACCTTTTGGGTGAAGTATCTGGTTCTTGTGAAGCCATTTCTCAATAGCATAGATTTCGTGAGTTTTATAGGCCTGCAAGATTAAATAAAGAGAGTTTTTTTAGCTGAAGGGTTTAAGTGAAGCATGAGCGTTAAATTTGTTTGTCGGGTTACACCCACTTCACCTGCTGGTTAGTAGGAAGAGGCTCAGTCAGCGCCCGTGTAGCCAACTCCATATCTTCAAGAGCACTCCTTATACCAAAGGAAGCGCTACTCGAGGAAGCTCTGTTGGCAACAGGATTTAGGCTATTGAAATTTATCAGAGCAATGTCTTCATTGTGAGTTGCGGCTGACTCGAGATGTATTAACGGTGCTAATACCATATCCCACCACACTGAACACACCCGTTTGGGTGAAATAGTGTGCCACTTTGTACAGTACCTGAATAAGAAAAGTTTCAAAAGGAAATTAGATGTAAAGACAAGTATCTAGAAATGGAAACTGTTTACAGGCAAAGGAAACCTAAAAATAGAAGATGGTGATTGTCCAACAAAGTAATTGTAATACAGGCAATAGAAAACCTGCGAGTGACATCTTTGGCTCCACCACCAGCAAAAGCAACAACATATCTGAGAACGGTTTTGCATGCGGCAGCTGCTGCTTCAACGTTTTGCTCGGCATTTATCATTCCATTAACAGCATCGACATGGACCCATCTCCCATCCATGTTTTCTCCATTGCAATACACCTCAGCCCAACAAAGGGGAGAATCTACTTTCTTAGAACCAATAGCCGTGGATATTACTTGGTCAGAAACTGACGAGCTATCACTTGCTTTTGTTATTTCACGAATTTTCTTTTTATTGTTCACTTGAGAGCTCTGTTGGTTGTTTGCAGTTGCAGACAAAGCCATGGCTATTTGCCTCTCGAACTCAACATCTCCTTTCCTCCTTGTTCCGTCAGATTTTCTGGACATTCCTGCTTCACAAGATGAATTGACTGCATTGTCTTGTAACTGATCAGAGCCCAGGGGATTCCCACGCTGAGGCTCAGACGTTTCAAAGAGACTTTTATTCTTAACATGGGAAAAAGATTTCTTCGGGTGTGACGCGATGGCCTGCTGTTTTGGTACCATAAGTGTTGAGGTCCTGAATATCCCATGCTTCATTTTAGCTCTGTTTTGACCTGATGATTCATCCCTATCGGCCCCTGGTTTTAAGGATGCAACATCAAGAATAGACACAAACCTGTGAAACTCAAGTTAGTCCGGAAAACTCGAAACACGCTTGGCATACTAAGCCGTAAGCATTATAAATAAGCAACACTCCAGAAACTATGGTACTGTATATAGTTATCTGACCAAGATTAATCTTGAAAAGCATAATGTCAATGAACGTTATGGATCTGAAAATTTAGCCAGGTAGGACTTAGGAAACTCATTAAACATGTAAGAATGGAGCTCTCATATGCCACTTTAGACAAGGTGTCATATGAGAGCTCAGATACACACAGCAAAAAACAGATTCACTACCATGCTCAGAAACCAAATATAAATACTATATTGTGGCAACAGTAACAAGTATCACATACCGAGTTGTGAGCTTTAATGCTCTAAGCAAAGCAACAGCCAATGCTGCAAGCTGCAAAAATGATTCCATAAGTTTCGTAAAATTGAGATTTCAACAATACAAGTAACCAAATAATAAAAAGGTTAAATATCATAAATCTGATCACAAGCTTACCTCTTCCGCTGTGCCTTTACGAGATTCAAGAGCAAATGCTAGGGAAGTACGAAAAGATTTCTCAGAACTGGGAGAACACCCAACCGAAAAGTTTTCACGAACCTACAATATAAGCCAGGGAAAAGTTGTTTAACTTTCCATCAGAACAAAACAAAAGCTACAGGCCAGTAAATCCATACCCAACGAAGAAGAGGGGCTATATCCTTGACAGTAACTTTCTCAAGATTTGAAACTTTTGTCAAGTATGATGGTAGAAGTGAAAGCAAGGCAGCCTGCGCGTTAAATTTAAGAAATTAAAATTTATATCGCAGGTTGCAATAAGAAAAATATAACTTTGACGCAACTGCTAACACTGCTGTATTCAATTTATTTACCTGAATCAAAGGATCATTACAAGCATCATCAACTATCCTCCCTCTTGCAAGCAGACAGAGCAAGTGAACCTTATGGACAAGTTCCGCCCGTTCCTTTAAGAAAAAGCAAAAATCTCATAAATGACCACTCATTTTAAAGAATAAACAGAAGTAAGCATATCGTGTTTCCTAAGTACAGTATACCTTGTCTTCTGCTGTTGCACGGTATGCATTCTTCTGCTTCTTAGCATCAGGAACATCATCATCAAATTCTATGGTTAACTCTCTGGTGTCATCAATATTAACATCAACCGTACTATCAAGACTAGGGATTGGACAGTCTTCCCAGTCTGAATCATTCATTTCATCATCATCAACATTAGTAACATCAACCGTACCACATTCCCTCTCCTCTAGAACGTTATCAGTCAATCTTGCCTCGACCGCATGCTTTCCCTTCCCGTTTACGCCTTTATCCCGCTGCAATGATAGAATATTATAATAATGTTACACTCCCAGACAACAGAGGGACAAGATAAGAAAAAAATCACCACTTTCCCAAGAAAATCTTTATGCATAGGACAAGGATAATAGCTTCCTACAGCCATTGATAATTGGTTAGTAGTACCACGGACTTCACAATCTTCAAGGAAACCTTGAAAACAATCAATAGAATTCGTTGCTCCTAACATCTTAAGTACCCTTAGTGAAATCAGATTAACAATAATGTTGTTTGCATGAATAGAAGAACAAACCTTTGCGGAATCACAATTATCATCTTGCTTCTTCTTGCCTCGAGAGCCACGAGCACTGCTTCTGTCAAGAACTTTGTTGACTGCTTCTCTAGAGGCTGAAGCAAGTCTACCATTCTTACTTTCACTTCTAGACTTCATCTTAATCTCCTCAAGAGAACCCTAAGCATTAAAACCAAAATTTCAAAAAATAAAAAAAGACAATGATTAAACTCAACAATTTTATATCCAATTCCAATGATAATTTGAAATGTTCTTGCATAGTTCTTGAGACTACATTACCTAACAAAGAGACAATATTTGCTAAAAAGACAAAAGCTTTCTCAATAATCATTCTCACCGGAAATCACATATCGTCAAACATGGAGATTTTATAACTAACACTCTTCAAAAGACGAGCAAGGATGATTTTTTTTCTCCTTGATTTTCTCAAGAGTCAGGGGATTATAAAGCACGGAAATACAAATTAGAAGTCTCAAAGATACTTACTTACCCACGACTCGATCATGCGACGCACAGCCGTCGGAGACAGAAACTCTTCGACGGAGCCAAGGATTTCACGCGCCAATTCTCCCGACGTACGGGAAACAAAACCTTCTCCGACTCCGAGAGAAGTGGAACGATAAGGGTCATTGATTTCTTTAAGATGGGACCCACCACTTCATTAAACCGCCTCGATATCGCCACGTCACTTCTTCTTTTGTGTCTCATTAATAATTTATTAACTACTTTTTGGATATTAAAAATAATTAATTTATTTGCTCTTTATAGACTTTTTTTGTAAGACAACAATTCCTTGATATCATCAATCATCATATTCATACCAAACAACAGCAACGGCGTTTTACACGACTCCAATTCGCGACCGCGTTTAAGATTAACATTGGTACACAATTCTCTGATCTGACCAAAACTTTGAAAGAAAAAACATTATTTTCTCCTACAAAAAGCTAAAGACAATGTGACATTTTTGATCCAATAAGATAGAAACCAAAAGACGTGAGCTTTTTCAACCCGTCATTCCTGGGAAGAGCTGCGATATCTTGTTGAACACATCCATTACCTGCAATCAATGTATAACCTCAAATTTCTTACAAAGTAATCGCCTTTTCGGGCAATCGAGAAGCGGCACAAGATCAAGTATTATTACCTCTTTGTCGTTTTGGTACTTCATGATGTTCATTGGGTTCTCTGAGCACTGCAACAACAACAAGAATCAAAATTGGTTTCTGTTTTGTATAAAGTAAGAAGTGCTTTGTATAAATCAAAGCAGTTCTCTGTTTCAGGTTAAAAGAAAACGTACTTCCATTAATGCTGCTTGGACTCTAGGATTCTGGAATGCCATGGCAACATCAGGGTTCTCCATGATCTTAGATATGACTTCTTCTGGAGTCAGTCCTATTTGATCTGAGAAATACGGTTTCAATCATTGAGTATCAAACTTGTTTAACGTCACAAACTATTAGTATTAACTTGGTACAAACTGAGATTTATCTTACTGAATTGTTGCTTTACTTCAGGACTATTCAGGTCAAAATTCTTCAATGTATCTGTCATTCGCTTGTCCCATTCACCACTCCCACTCATATTATTCCTAAATCCATGAAAAGAAAGAAACAAACAAGATTGTTTCTTAACTATATAGTTTATACATTCTTGAAAGTAACGGAAACATGTTCGTAAAATGGAGCTTACAACATGTCCTGTAGTTGTTGACGGTACTGAGGGTTTTTAAGCATCCCTACAAAATTCCAAGTGGAGACAATATATATATATATCAAACACTATTTTAGATAACTATTGGATCAACCTATAAACCAATTACATCTTTCAAAGGTAGTCACGTAACCTTTTATCTAAAATTCATAAATATGCAAAAATGAGGACAAGAAGAATAATAACAGGATTAAATGTTAACAGACTTACATTTGAAAGTTTCTGGGTTTCTCATCTCCTCAGGCAAGTATCTGCATTTATACATGCAATGTTACCAAATGTCCACTAAGCAACCAGTTTTAAAGATCAACTTAATAGAAGCATTTAAAGACAATGCGATAGGGAAGGTGAGTTACGGGTAAACCATCTTCTGGACTGTTGGATCTTCCATCATTTTCTCTAAAGCTTCTACAGACAAACCCGGCCCTCCTTTCCCACCGCCTGTGTAAACAAGAGACAGACTAAGATTCAGTTCTAAAATTAGAAGAAGAAAAGAGAGACTATTATGTAAGCAGATGAGAAAAAAGGAATCATAACAAATGAGATATTGCTAGGCTAATATGCCAGTATACCAAAATCACATATCTGAAGAAACAATCCTTATGTACTGTTCTTTTACTGAGAAAATTATGTATACCTAATAAGCATTCCATACTGTTGCAAGTCTTATATGGTTATACCAATACAGATCAACGACTAGAAGAAGGACACAAGTAACAGAGTAGATCTTTTAGAAGCCAACTCATTCCTCTTTATCACCAATTTAATATCTTCCTTTGTTTATAGTTGTTGGCATAGGCTATAAAATAAAATAGAAATCTCTAGCCTTAATCATGAATCGAGCACAGTGCTCTGATAGTGATGAAATCTGCAATTCATTAACTCACCCAAAGATTGAAAAACCTCTGAAGCAGTGGCACCATTTGCCGGACCAGCTCCATTTTGCAAAACCTTCACCCAAAGATCAATAAGAGAGCACAGAAACCTCCTAGTTTAGCAAAATCATGTCACGTTTTCAAATCACCACTTGGTGTGCTGTGCAAATATGCTGTGCAAATAGAAAATAAAACGAAACTTACATCCTCAAACAAGCGAGTTTCTTTGGGGGAACTAGTTTCAGAGACTTCAGCATAGTTGCTAAATGGGCTTTCTTTTGTGGTTTCCTCGGGTGAAATGTCTTCAAAGGCTGCATCCAAAATTAAATCAGCTTCCAAGTTAGAAGCTTAAAAATGAGAAAGGAAGAAAGTCAAAATTGAGAATACAAATGAAAAGAGGTTGATTTCTGAAACAGAAAAAGAATCTACCATAGTTCTTTTCTTCGTTCTTCTCTTTGCTTGCCTCTAAGACAACACTTGGCTTATCCACTTCTATATCCTTTGCAGGTGTAGGTTTCGGTTTAGTTGAAGGAGGTGTATCTACTTTAGTCGCCGTCACATCAACAGTAGCACCTGAAGACTGGGATTGAGATTGGAATGGCGAGGAAGTAGGACTTGTTTGAGGAGGAAATGGAAACGGAAAAGGTGATCCTGATGGGAATCCAGGATTATTAAACTGGCTATTTTGCGTATTCATCTGGTTCATCATTGTCTTCATAGCTGTTTGCATTGCATATTTCTGAAACAAAAGAAAAAAAAATCCACAGAGAGTAACAGCGAGTTAGAGAATAATGATAGAAAGCAATGAGAACTTGTGAAATATATTTCAATCAAATACTGGAGTTATGAAAATGACTATAGGTCTGTATACCTGGGTTGCATCACTAAAACCATAATGGTATGTAGGTTACCATCTATGAATCAAGTGACTACCCAAAAAAGAGAGGCAAATGTTCCATGCTTAAATATTTGGTTCAAAAAGTGTGAGCAAACAGTTCACCTTGTTAAGATAACCAGTTTAGTGAATAAAACTATCTCAGATACATAAGCACTATACACTAGAGATACATGAAGCATAAAATCGTGGTTCTGCAAAAGAACTAGAGAGAACAAAAGTCCCGTAAAACCACAGGGCCAAGTATTTGTACCTTTAAATTTGAAGTTACCTGCAATGCCATCAGAAAAAAAAAAAAATCAGGTACTTATTAATCAATATTGAAGCATGAAAGAATATATATAGAGGAAAAAAAATTAGGAAGGAATCTTTATACTCACCAATGAGAACAAAGCTGATAGACCAACTCCAACACCAATCCAGAAAAGTGGTGACCCTCTACAAGAAAAAGAAAAAAAAACAATTTAAGCGGCAAGAATTAATCAATATACAAACAAAGCACATTGTCCAAAACCAAGAAAATTACATGGTTGATGAAGATGGTGGTGGCACAGGCACACTAGGGGAAGCAACAGAAGTTGTCTGTTGATCACGACTCGATGAAAATATACTTGCAAAAGCTTTGCTTCTCTGTTTCATAACCACTGCAAACTCGAACATAAAATTAAAAGTTAACAATACTAACAATGAATGGCTTCTACAAGAATTCTAATTGCAAATTTCACAAAGTGTGGATTTTTTAAAGAGATAAAGCAATTCATAAGCTCATCTTTTACCAGTCGAAAAGGGTTTACAATTTGAGTTTCAATTATACAAATAAAACTAAGAAACTGAAACATTTTGGCATTTTCTATCGAGTGTCGAGTGGAATTTGCAAACTAACCGATTTCTCCAGTGTTATCAGGACGCGAAGAGGGAGATTGAGATTGAGCAGAAGCAGAGATTTTGGAGCAGCGGAGGATAATTTTAGGAGTCCGACGAGAAAACCCAGTAGGGTTTTTAAGCGAGGAAGTGAAATTGCATCCAATTAACAGCTTTGGAGAAGAAGCTGAGCAAGAAACTAGGGTTAGGTTCTCCATTTCTAATTGTTTCTTTGGAGAAAAAGAAACAGAAGAAGAAGAGCCTGAAACAATTCTGGTGAGGAGGAGGAGAGATATGATGAGGAAGAAGAAGATGGAAAAACGAACAAGAGATTTTGGTCTAAAACCACGAGGTTTGAGTTACTACTAGTCTTGGATCCAGTGTAGCTAAGTGTACTGAAACCTTTTATAAATTAACAGGTGGCGAGTTTTTGACCGTCAAGATCAATGAACCAAGAGTGCGATGTGAGTGAGAAGTCTTTCGTGGTTATTGCAAAAGCCACCCCTCCACCTTTGCTTTTTGTTATGTTATAACCCGTATCTATTTTTTAGAATCAGTTTACACCTCGTTTGCTATCAGAAAAGAAAATCATGATCAAGGTGATTCAGAATTTCTCAAATACAGTATTGTGTTCTATTAGTTGTGTTTTTCGGATCGTCCAAAAAGTTGAATACACTTAGTTTATAACCAACCTCACAATGAACACGTTCAACAGATTTTTATGCCTGTACCCAAGAGAGTCTAGGATGTTTGCCAATTTAACAAAATTCACACATATTTCATATTTGAACTAAATTTTTATTACACTAAACAAAGATACGCTTTCATATGGTTTCTAAATAATTTTATGAAAGTGTATGTTTCTCCTATGTCGTCAGATAACATCACTTCCGAGTTAGTAACAAAAAGTCAAGGCTTGTATGTAATTCGTACACCATCATCGTCCTCAGTCCCATTCATTTCCACAGTTTGTTCCATATCCCATTCGTACACTGATTCATTTTTTCTTCCTCTTTCTCTAAATTTAGTGAATTTGATTTTATCTGACATAACTTGAATCTCAGACAAAATTTTGGTGTTTCACAAAAAAAAAAAAAAAAAAAAACAAAATTTTGGTAACTCCATATCTTTGTAAGAAAAACCCACTCTTGTTTGTAAAGTAATCTTAGAAATCAACTACAATAACAATAATGAAGACAACAAAAAAAAGAGTATCATAGCTGCTTCTCAGACAATGGGCACAAAGATTCCACATATGAGTGCTTGAGAACATGGTAAGGTTCTTCAAGATTTAAACTAAGAAACTATCGAACAAGAGCTCTACACTGCTCTCTTCCTCGGATCTAAAACACAAAGGAAAACAAATCCCCTTCAAGTGTTTTAGATCAAAGTGTCATCAAGAAATACAGAGCTCAAGCTCTTTCTTTGGTTTAAATCAAGAAGAACCACATCATCTTCTCAGCCCATCTTTTCAGTGTGGTTAAAGCAATAAAATCATCATTGAGCAGCCAAAAAAAACAAACCAAAAAATTCAGTAAACAACACATCTAGAAAACTGATTATGAGAAAAAGCTGCTTCTCAGACAAGGGCCAAGGTTGTCCACAGGAGTGAGCTTGAAAACGTATATGTTCTTCAAGCGTCAAACCAGGAAAAATGTCGATAAGAGCTCAACATTACTCTCTACCTTAATCTAAACCACAAAGGAGAAAAAAAATCCCCTTCAAGCAACTTAGATCAAAGTGTCATCAAGAAACGCCGAGATCAAATCCAATATTTCTCTGGTTTGAATCAAGAAGAGCAAAATCACATTCTCAAGTCCATCTTTTCAGTGTGGTTAAAGCAAAAAGAATCATCATAGAGCAGCAAAAAAATACAAATTTCACAAAACCAAAGGTCTTAATTTGAGAAAAAGGCTAACACTTTATCAGAGAAATTCGAAGATCTAAAACACCCAAACATAAAATCAGAAATAAGTTGTCGAATCTCGAGAAAATGATAGAATCCACGGGAGAAAAAAAAATCCCAGAATACCACATGTCCAGAGATTCCAAACCATCAATGAAGATGTTTGATTTCGCATCAGGACATACGATTCTTTTAAGCTATACAAGAATGATAAGCTTAAAGACTCTATCACAAATCTGTTCCTTATATGCTACTTCTAAACCTAACATTTCTTGGCAAAAATTTCGGATTTTAACAAAACAGAAAAATCGAATCTTTCTGGGATATTCGTGATGATAATAATCTTGCGGCTAAATCAAAGACGAAGTCTTTCATTTATAGCTTAGGGTTTACATCGTTTTTATGGGCCTTTAGGTTCTATTTTTATTGGCCCATTAGCCCAAATTAAAGTACCTTTCCTCTTCGCTCCCTCTTGGTTCCTCCCTGTTTTATTGATTAAAAAAAAAAAAAAAAAAACGATTTCTTTCTCAACTTGTCGATCAGTGAGAGCGTCTCAATTTCAGTGTTTCATCGAATTTGTAGAGGTAAAAGGTTTCCGTTTCTCTGGTTATGTTTCAATTCCGCTTTTAAAAAAAAAAGCTCATAAAAGTGAGTGAGTGACAAAAGCAAGCTTCTTCATGTTTTATTACCAGGGTTTCGAGTTTCGACAATCTGAGATTCTCCTTGTGTTAATTTCCAAAGGAGATTACTTTCTTCATTCTCCTTACCTTCTCAACAAACCCTTCTCTCTTATTATCTAATTCGCTTTTGTAGTTATATACCCGAATTAGCAAATTTTGGGAAATCGAAATCTCTATCATATCAAATTTCTTCAGTCTCCATGTACTTATTATCCTCTGTATTACTCTGATCCGAATGTATAATAAGATGTGCCATGAACCTACCAACATCTCTTCGTCGGAGTCTAATTTTATATTCCCTGAGGTAGACCACCTCCCCTTGACGTCACGGCGGAGTTTATTGCTATCGAGTGAAAGAGTCTCTCAACGTATCGCTGCTTCTGTTCCTGCGTGAGTACTGTCTCTGGTTTACGTTTTTTTCAATTTCTCTTTTCGTTTTTGTTTGACATATGTTTTCTTTTGTGTCTTCTGTTTGTAGATCGAATGTTGATAGTATCTTGAAAAGAGAAGGAGAAGAAGAAGAAGATTGCGTCAATGAGCTGGTAATGAAGTCTTTGTTTTTGTTACATTCAATTTCACTTTTTAAGTTTAGAGAACTGAGTATGTAGTTTCCAGGGTGTTGTGTCAAATTGTGATGCTACGGAATCTGTAAACATCAAAATACTGGAATCTACGAGCATTGGTTGTAGTCAAGGTCTTAACGAGTCTGGAAATCTAAGACCACAGAACAACATTCTATTATGCTGTAGTAATGCCGAAGAGAATTTCAAAAGAGTCGAAGAAACTGAACGGAGTGATGATCTTGAACATCTCACACTGAAGGAGCGGCGCAAAATGCTTCTTGAAAGGTGTTTTATTGAATGGTTTTCCGCATCTTTTCAGTCACCTGCGTTCATTTAGTGTCTAATGGCTCTTATCTACCCTACTTGTTGTTGCAGGGTGGCTATAAGGTTACCAGAATCTAACCTAGAGGTAATCAAAGTGACAAGTTCCCTTGGGTTTTGAAGTTTTTTGTTTGGGATCTATTAGGGCTAACTAGGTATTTTGCATTACAAGTGCAGGATAATACTAAAGATTGCGATGAAACTGATCTTTACAAAATAAAAGCTGAGATTTCATGCAAAATAGCTTCGTCTTCTGGGGTCCAATTCAGCGGCTTTCTAGAGAAAATTGATTCTGTCCTCTGTAAAAATTATAGTATAGGTTCAGAATCTGGAAGTCAGCTTAATGGAATTCAAGAGAGTGATATTCCAATTTCTCATGAACGGTCGTTTGGTTTGTCACTTGAAGCCAGTTTACCTGAGGTATCCAGTAGAGATGACGAACACTCTCCGTTAGGTAGCAACGGAAATCCAAGAAAAAGTGTGAAAAGAGTCAAAAGGAATCATCTGCCTTTGAATGTGTATGAACTACAGTCTACTCAAGTTAAGGCTGATCCTTTGGGTGATTGTGTCATGGAGAACAATGACGAGAAAAATCCTGTTACCTCAGAGCAGATACCGGTCAAAAGAGAGGTAGAAGCCCATGGTGAAGCTCTTGATGAAAATGAGCTAGATTCTGTGAAATTGAGCTTTCGCTTGAATCGCTGTACATCTGCTCCGAAACCGTCTAGGTGTATGAAAAACGAAGCAGAGACCGCTAGTGAATTGGATGAAGATGAGATAGACCACATGAAATTAATTGATCGATTAAAGCTTCGATCTTTTCATGGTTCAGGTCATCATGAAGATCTTAATTCTCCGTCCTCAGGGTTTAGCTTCTGTACATCTGATGAATACGTTAAACCTCCTAGGGTATTTCGTCCTTGGAAGCGGAAGAAAACCGCTACGTGAGTCTCTCTGCTGTATCCTTCGTCTCGTGTGTCTGTATCTTTTGATTATCTCTGTTTCTTTTCTGATCTTATTATGTGAAATAACCATTACAGGGACTCAATTGAGACGGCTCTGGAGGAAGATGCTCCTGGTCTTTTGCAGGTATCATGGTTTTCTTCTCAAAAAATAGAATTTAATGGAACTTCTTCAAATTAGATTTCTTAAAGCACATGTGTTTGAATCTGTTGTTTGCAGGTACTGATTCAACAAGGAGTATCAGTTGAAGAACTTAGGCTTTATGGGAACGAAGGTGGTGATGTTTCCTCAGATGATTCACTTCTCGACGAGAGTTTCTCGGAGCTCGAAGATGTGATCTCACAGGTAAAATTATCCCTTTATTTTGCTGCAAAGTTAACTTTTTTCCGCTATGTGTCAAATGATTGAATCTTCTTGAAATTTATCAGCTTTTCTTCAAACGCGAGACGGGCACAAAACTTCTTAATTCAAGTTTCTCAAAAGTTTCAAGAACTAGCTATTGCTTGACCTGTCTGTTCTCCCTCATCGAACAGGTAAAAGTCCTCATCCCCATCTTCTCAAATATTTATACATTTCTCTTTCTTCCTAACTTGTTTCCTCTTGTTTTCAAGGCGCGGTATTTACAGTTCCGCAAATGGCCTGTTGAGTGGGGCTGGTGCCGTGATCTCCAGTCTTTCATATTTGTTTTCGAGAGACATAACCGGTAGATTAACTCTCTTCCCTTTGTCATTGCTGCTAAACTGGAAACTTCATGGATCTTTTTGCTTGATACAGTATAGTAATGGAACGACCTGAATATGGCTACGCAACATACTTCTTCGAGCTCAGCAACACTGCATCAATCAGATGGCAGATTAAACGGTTAGTCTTGGCCATGAAACTAGCAAGCTGTGGCCGATATCAGCTGATTGAAAACAAGCCGTTACTGGTAAATTCTTCTCTCTCACCGGTTAATTTGATCCTTTATTCTTTTCTAAGGATTATTATTCTGAACTCTCTATGTAACTCGGGGTGGGGATAACAAGGTAGGAGAAGATATGACCGCAGGCGAAGCAGAAGTGCTGATGAAGTACGGTTGGGTAGCTAACACTGGACTAGGGACTATGGTAAACTACCGCGATAGAGTCTACCATGACAGGAAGACCCAAAAACAGACATCAGTATGGAGATGTAAGATTTCTGAGCTTCTTGTCGATGGCTATAACAGTGGAACCATCGTCTCAACTTTCATTGCTCCTCATGATGATGATGATGTTGATGATGCCGGACTTGACATGGGAGATGTTAAGCTTGAGCCTTATTGAAGCTGTGAATCTGTTATAGAGTCTTCAACTGTTGATTGTTTATTTACTTGGTCAACTAAATTTAATCGAACCATTAACTTCAATAAGCATGCTAAAAAATTCCCATGCTTTCTTTTATCACCACAAGCTCCAGATTTTGCTGCAATTGTCACTATAGTTTTGTCTAGTCGTGGTTAACTTTAGCGTATAAAAATGAGCCCAGTGTAGGCAATATAGAGGATCTTACTTTGACGCGTGAGACAATAAGATGTTTTACATCAAGAGAAACTTTTGTTGGGTACAAGATTAATACAACATTTTTTTCTCATAAATTAGAGTTAAATTCATATTTTTGATGTCATTTTAATAATAGTTAAGCACATCAAAATAAAGTATCGCAAAAGAGGTATTTTGTTTATTCATATTGCTCATAGAATGTATTGGGATTATGTATAAACACAAGAAACCACTTAATTACTACATAATTTTTGAATCAATTGCACGAAGAAAGACTGAATAATTTATGGGAAATTTATATATATATATATATATATATATCGTTGGGTAACTTTGCAAAAGCCAAAAAGGATTGTACTTTTGTTGTTAAGGGTGTGAAGTTTTAGCCAATGTGTCACAACAATAAGTAGGAGAACGAAACTCTACTCATTCACCAACTTCAAATGTATTACAATCATTGTTGTCGTTACCAAATTTTCTTTTTCTATAATTCATTATAAAATATATATATATCCACCAACCTAACAATTTATTATTTAAAAGTTTTAAGAAACTAATAAATTCCCTTATCTTCTTCTTTTCTCTTCTCTTTAGTCCATCATTCACAGTTCCACTATAATCTCTTTTGCTCTTCTTTGTGACAAGTCATGCCTAAGCAATGATCATATTTCTTATGAGAAAGGTTCATATACATGCACTCTTTTCTCCACTTTCTTTGTATTTTATAATTCTTATTTTCTTAAGTAAACATATTATACACTTTATGGCATAAAAGGCATTCATGGTTTTAGTTCAACCAAAAAAAAGTCACTTTTCTGCTACATTATTTTTCCAAAATATAATTAAAGTCATGTTTCATACACATAATTTTGTATAATTAGAATAATGTAACGGTTGAGGCCTTAATTTACGTAACTTTTGATAGATTTATAATTGTAATCGATGTTTAACTAGCGTCAGCAGCATCTATATTAATTTCGATCATGAATATATATATGAACGGGAAAAGGAACTGATGTTATACTGTGATAACCAAAAGTACAAAATGTCGATCTTTCTTTATGAAAAGATGGTTTGGTAAAGGTAGTTACCACTTGTCTATCAATCCCATTCACGCGTGGTCCATAGTCTTGAACTTCATACACATACAAAATACATAATTCACAACGACAGGACCGATCATATGGGCACAGCCTTATGAAGAAGCCACCGCAGCCTCCAATTTATGGGGTCCTATATAAATATACTCTACATATTTGTTTCTTTACTAATAAAAGTAAGATTACAGGTTACGGCCACGTGTCTTTTTTGGATTTAAGGATTAGTCCACTTACAATCTTAACACTCAAAATCTCAAATATATGAAAATACTGGTTAAGAACAACAAACGCTACTAATAAAAACATGTTTAAAATATGTTGAAATTCTACATTGAAAAAGACAACATAGTGAAACTTACTTTACTTAAAAATATAATTTATTTCCAAATTTTAGATTTGCTTAAAATATCGTATTATGACAAAAATAATTGTCATCTGTTACGTCATGGTCAAGCATCATATTTAATTGAAAATTTTAACATATTGCAAAATATCATTCTACTATCAACAACAGACAACTTTTAGTACTTAATTGTTTTTGTTAAACCTTTTTTGGAAATTAATTGTTGTACAAACATATTCAAAACTATGACATATGATTCTAGCTATATGCATCACAACAAAAAAAAAAATCCAAAATTTTGCAGTTGTTATCTATAAGAACATATTAGTTCTGACATGCAAATTAGTGATCTTAAGAACTTTCATCTTTTGAGTTTTCAGCTAATACACATATTAAGCTACCAATACCATATATTTAAACATATTTTTAACAACCACAAATTTGTTATTTTAATTTGAATATTTTTAAAAGACACCATTTTCTTTTTTATTTCGTGTAGCGACCTGCATATGTCACCATCGAGACAGACATGTGTTAAAGAAAAAAAGACACACATGTGTCATCACCACCACTGTATGTAATATGTACGTAAGTATATGCTAATATGCATAAGTGTAGTGCGGACTGATACTGTGATACATGCGTGGGTCGGTGTATTTTCGTACTTTATGAAATATTTTTGATTAATCATATGATCACTTATGAAAATTATACCAAAACGACTTGAGTTTTACAGATCCGATTTTGGATAATCATTAGATGAAAAATTGATCCTACGTGAAATTATTTCCTACTCTTAATTTGTTCATAATTTAATTTTATAATAACGGACCAATCTAATTAAAACAGCTTTAACCAGGCTTGGAATAAAATGTTAAAACGTTAAATAACGTGAACCATATAACTTTGGGTTCCTTTTGAGTTCGGTATAGATTGGCAGCATCGTCTAAGACATGATTATTATTCTTATTGCATATTTGCAGTGTGATTACAGATTTTTAGAAGGAACAAAAAAAAAACACGAAACATATGAAATGTAAGAAAACGAGTATAGACAAGTATGTGTCATAAGATAATAATCCAAAATGTATTTGCCACTCTTTTACCTTTTACATTCTTTTTCATTTAAGTTTGTTGGAAAGAAAAGTATATTTATGCAGTGAGTGTAGGAGTTGATGGTCCACCACAAGTGCTTTGAATTTGACGTGAGATTGAGAATATTTGGTAGGTGGAGTTTATTAATAAATCCTAAGAGATTTCAATCATGATTGTGTTGTGACGTTGTTTTGTCGAAGTCTTATCATATATAGCAATGGATTCATCACCATGACGCCATCATTGTATCATCATTTAGTATTTTCCACTTTTATCCGAATAATTTTACGTATCTATAAGCAAATTCCAACATTTTTTCTGTGTATAAGTGGAACTAAGGTTGTTATAAAATGGGACTAATTAGGTAGAATATAAGTAGCCAAGAAAAATAAAAAGTCTTTTGGATAAATCGTAAAAGGTTAAGATTTAAGAATTTCCATTATATAATCGTAAAAAGTTAAAATGAAACTGTTGATCTAATGGCTTTAGATTTTGGGCATAATTTAACATTTTGGAATGAAATTTAAGTAATATCAATTGGTATATATTAGGTTAAACTTTAATGGTGTTTTATATTATATTTTTCCTATGAAAATATTTCATTAGTGAAGGAAAAAACAGAGAAACGAATGTCCACAATTGCAATCTTTATTACATGTATTGTACATAATAATCCACTAAACTGCAACACCAAGGCCAAACCCAAATCCCCCACTTTAAGAACAAAGAAAAAAATCTACTTAAAAAACATCAAGAAAAAACTAGAAGCTAGCTAGAGGAGATCAAATGTCCATGAATCTTGATCTAAAACCATTCTTGAACATCCATTACCATTTCCAACAAAACCATCATCATGGTCATTCATAAACATATCCAAGCTGCTCAAATCATTGATGTCCCACAAGTTCATTGTATCAGCAGTGTTGTTGAACTTGCCGTCTTTGCTATTATTATCCCCCGACGAAAGCCACTTGAGGTCAAGAATCTCCATTTCATCAAAAAACTTGGAGAACTCATCACCCGGTACTACTGCTGATATACAAGACGAGGTAGAAGAGGAAGAGGAAGAAGGAGAAGTAAATTTACTAGTGTTGATATTGACGTTATCATCATTAGAATGATGATGATGAGAAGAAGAGATGTCGATCAAGATCTCATGTGGATTGAGCAATGGGACTTCATCAATGCAAAACCCATCACTAGAAACTGATGTGTTGTTCTTCTCCAAATCTTGCTCTTGTTCGCCTTTGGTTTGTTGATCTTCTTGATCTTGTTTTGGGTTCTTGTCATCATGAGGCCCGAAGCTTTTCTTGCTCCCTTGAGCTTGTTGTGAAGCTTCATGTTCAGAGAGAGGCTTATGGGTCAAAGGGTCAATACCCATCTTCCTTAGCTTTTTCTTTATGTGTGTGTTCCAATGGTTCTTTATTTCATTATCAGTTCTTCCTGGTAGATGAGAGGCAATCTTTGACCATCTGCACACAAAAAAAAAAAATTAAAGATTCAAAATCATACAAGCTAAAAATTTTAACAAAAGATTTCGACTGTTCAATCATTTTCATCAGACCAACTAAATTAAACTACTAGGTTTAAAAATATACGACTAAATAAATATGTGAAAGGTTATTTTTTAATGCGAAAGAAGAGATAAAGTTTGAGTTTTAGTGACTTTTGTGTTTCTCGGATAACTTAAAAATATTGTAATCTAATATGGTCATAACTTTATATATAACTTATATTAGGAGTTAGTTAGAATGTCATAGTTAAGGTAAGTAAATTGTTTGTAGAAATAATTGTTTCAAGAGAAAGAGAATGAACCTATTGCCAAGTTGGGCATGGAGATCAATGACCATTTGTTCTTCATATTCTGATAAAAGGCCTCTTTTTAAATCAGGTCTTAAATAATTTATCCATCTTAATCTGCAGCTTTTACCACACCTCAATAGTCCTGCATTTAGTTTATTAACCAATAAAAGTGATTAAATTAACGATCAAATTAATTGAAACTTAAACTATACAATTAAAATTGATTGGAAACCAAATAATAGCGTGTGAGGACCACGAAATCAAACACTGATTGTTTCAGCCAAACACAATGATTAACAATCTAATAATATGGTTTGAGTTTTTGAAGTCCGGAAGAGAGATAAATATTCCATTCCAAAAAGTAAGGTAAGAATTGATATGATATTGCGATGAAAATATTTTTAAAAATTAAAACTACATATATGTTTAATTATTTGCGCAAAAAAACAGTAGTACTCATGAAAACTAATGAACAAAAAAAGATAAATAAATCTGTAGGAGTGAGATTATTACTGAAAAATCGGAAACTTGATATTAACTGTTTTCAAAAGTGTCAAGAAATTAACATTTTGGAAAAACAAACACAGTAGTATCGTTTTCGTCGGTAAGAGAAAGGGTTTTGCAAAACTAAAATCTTTGCACATGAGCCATCGCAACGGTGTCGTTTTGAAGTTTAGAAAAACAGAGAGAGAGAGAGATAATAAACCAGAAAGCTTGGGAAGAGCTCTCCAACAGCAATGGCCATTGGTGAGGATGAAGTTGATGAGCTTCTTGTCTTCTTCAATAGTCCATGGCCCTTTCTTTAACCCTACTTTATCACAACATGGTTGCCTCCCCATCTCTCTCTCTCTAAATATATATCTACTTTATAGAGAGCTATGTTCAAATATGTTACCTAATATACTTATAATGTTGTATTTCCAAGACTAAAGAAGCTACACAACAACCTATATATAGAGAGTGAGAGATTTCAAAACCATGTTTGTGGTTCGGGGACCTACATTTCTTCTCGTATCTTCTTTTAATTATATATCTATCCAACCTCTTAACTTTTTTTTTTTCCAAACCTCTTAATATATATTTTCCATATTGTCATAAGATATTTTTTATCGACATTTAAATCATATATGATCGGATTTGTATCTACATAACATATTAATTAAAACCCATTAAATTGAAAAATGGCCGATACATAAGTATTTAAGATGATGCAATTAACTATGGATGCAATTTGTATAACTCTTTTATTAAAAATCTTCCAATTTTTGTCTATACCTTAGAGAGATAGAAAAAAAAAACACATTTATTTGAAAGTCAAATAATTTTGTTGCAACATTTTAGTGTCACTATTATTGGAGTGAAATTATAACAAATAATATGAGATGTTATTATTCATAATGGTATAAGAGAAACAGAAGTCGATACTTCATGGGCTTAAGCACACGTAGCGAGTGTGATCACGCCTAAAGTTCTTTATGCTTAGGAAAAAAACACCTCACCAGCCAATGTTGTCTTCTTCGCTTACTCAAATCTCATTATTGAAAAAATAAGAGTTAAGTTTTTCTCAAACAAGAAGAAACAAATTGTATATTACTTTTGTAATTAAGTATAATGTGATTGGCCGGTTTTTGTTAGCACTAACTAAGTGGTGGGTTTTGTATTGTTTGTTCGTTGTTATTGTTGGTGGTGTGCCAACACAAACTTACGGTACCCATGACGTCATCATAGTGTTACGTTTCCCAAAAATCCTTCGATTGGTAAAGTTTAGGATCACGGAATAAAATAATGTAAAATGGAATGACATCATTAAGAAGCCCAAAATTAAGTGCTAAGTTCGTAGAAATATTTTATTATTCTTATTGTTAATTCTTGTAAAATTAGAAGATGCATAAATGGTGTTTCCAAATTTTTTTGATAAAATATTAAAACCCAGTTAATTATATAGTTTTTTTAATAAAATTTTGGACGATATCGGGGGGAGTGGGGGGGGGGCTTCGATTTATATACAAAAAATACGATATATTTATTATTGAAAAAAATCCAATATAATCGGATGTCCACAAAAGAAAAAACAGATAAGTTTGAACCATTGCAACAACTTGGGTCTTATTATCAGTAAAATGGCCCAGTTCAACAAAAGGGCCAACATTTACAAAATGGCCCATAAATAATTTTATATAGTTGGACCGGCCTGAAACTTAACTTACATATAAAACTAAACTGGCATAATCATTGGCATTGGAGGAGAAACCGCGTCCAATACTGCCTTAGTGAGGTGGCCATGTTCTATACCCTGTCGGTCTCAAACAAACTTATCATAGTTTTCTCACAAACTAGGCTAATTTATAAATCTCACGAGAAAAATATTTCTCCAAACATCACGAGTATGTATAACTATTTTTATCCACATATATGCATCTTATTTATAGGTTGATGCAATAAATAAAATTAATTTATTGGAATTTGGAAGCCCCTTTTTATTTCATGGGACAACAATACTACTCAGTCTACCGTCTACTCTACAAGCATTTTTCTTTATTCGATGAAAGAGTAGTGTACGCAACTAGCATAAATTGACGTTACAGAGTTTTTAAATGGTTTTTCTTATGTCATGCAATCTTTTTTTTTTCTTTTCGTGATATACTTTTTTCCACTTTCCATTCATATAATGAGAAATCTTTATGTAATTTTATATTTGCCGTGTGAGATTTGTTTTGTGATATATACTTAGCGTTTGCGTATTACCAATCATATTACACACTATCCGTTTTTAATAAGTTTTTGTTTGTTTCTTCATTCATTGCATACTACTCTTAAAATGTTTAAAACAACTATGTCCACCTAAAAACACTCTGATCATGTATAAGTAAAACAGGACCATCAAGTTGCCCATCGCCAGAAAATTTGATATTTAATAACTGTCGATTTCAAAAACTATTTATTTTCGGATCTATACCACTAAACCAATAACTTATATATAATGTACTCCTCTAAGGCCTTGTTTTTTTCTCGATCGCAGCGACCGGAGTTAGGGACCGGAAAAATACTGAATTTCTGTAATTAAGTGTCGCTAAAACTAACCTAGCGACGGATTAAAAAGGCTACGGCATTAATTTTGGAAAACGTGGTGTCACCGGTGAACGCTGGTTTTTCGAGCGACTTCATCCCCGATCGTTTTTTGTCTTTTATTAAACTAAAGTTGTCGCTGGTTTTCTCTACATGAGCCTATTCTCTTAAGTAAAGCATTTGGGCTTTTTTTTTTTTTTTTTTTCCGCTGCCGCTAGTTCAACAACTAAGAAAAGAACACGGCTGGCATACATGTACGTCAAAAATAAAGCTCTCTATCATTGTATAAAAACAGTAAAATGCAGACTGTTCGGTAACCAATTATGTATATTTGTTGTATTATATATGATTTGAGTAATAGTTTTTGGTTCTAAAAAGACTAAAATGAATAATAGTTGGAAGATATGAACAAAATCAAATCTCGATTGATACAACTTGGTTATTACTATATAAAAAAAAACAAGTTGGGACTATATGTGATGAGAGCATTATGACTCTCCCACCAATGAAAATAAAGAGTTTCGAATTTTTATATATCGACATTTTAGAATAAGATAGAAAAAAGTGTTGACATAAATACAAAATATCCCAGAGTCACGGCAGCACGGACACGGGAACATAATGACACACCAACTAACTGCAATAACATGGTGGTCCGGTTCAACCCTGCTAGTTCAGACTTAAAAATTATATGTCTAGAAAAAAATCGCGTTTTTGAGACTCATTTACACTACAAAATATCTTAGACCACTTAACATGAAAATAGTAATGTTGTACTAGATCAAATATTAAATGACCACGTATATACAATTAATTATGTATGATATTTGTTTTACCATTTGTTACACGGAAATATATATATTTGTTAAACTATTGACATTTTTTGTACATTAAGAAGTAATTTTAAAATATCGTAATATATCTTCTTTCTTGGACAAACATATGTCCTATTATATACATCTTATCCTCGGTTTAGCTAGTAAACGTACGAAGACTTCAGCCGTAATTGAGAATGTACAAAAAAAACTACATAAATAAAATTCGATTAGTGGTAGTACGATCGATGAAGAAAAAACAAATTTAAACAAGAAATGGAGTAACTATTCTATACTCTTTAGTGGGGAACAATGGAACACCTGTCGGCAGAGAGATAATACATGGTCTTGGTTGCAAAACGTCTTCCAGTTTATGCCCATATAGGTTGGAATTGTTCCAATTTTAAACGTGTTCCAATTGTAATTGGACCCTCTTTATATTTTATTCGTCCAAATGTGACTTTTGGTATGTTTTTTTTTTTTTTTGATAGGTAACTTAGCAAACGGAGACATAGCTTGTGATGGGTACCACAAATACAAGGTTTTTGTTTTTTTTCTATCTCTCTATAGATGTTATTCACCAAACAAGAGTTGATTTACATCAAAACCTTTTTCTTTTTTTTCTCATTGTGCAGGAAGATGTGAAACTAATGGTGGAAACTGGCTTAGATGCATTCAGGTTCTCTATCTCTTGGTCTAGGCTTATACCAAGTAAGTCTTCTCAAACAAACATGCTCTTGTGTGTGTTTTTATTTTAACTTCAAAGGATCAAACTTTATAATATGAGCTCATTTAGATGGAAGAGGTCCTGTTAACCCAAAAGGTCTACAATTCTACAAAAACTTCATTCAACAACTTGTCAGCCATGGAATTGAACCACATGTTACATTGCACCACTACGATCTTCCTCAGTATCTCGAGGATGACTATGGAGGATGGATCAACCGCAGAATCTTGTAAGCTAGCAATAACCAAAAGAAAAGAAAAAAAGCGAATTACCTCTAGAGAAAAGTTAATAAAACTTGCTATTATTTGCCATTGCAGCAAAGACTTTACTGCTTATGCAGATGTTTGCTTCAGAGAGTTTGGGAACCACGTCAAATTCTGGACCACGATCAACGAGGCTAATGTATTCACTATCGGAGGTTACAACGATGGGACTTCACCGCCTGGTCGTTGTTCTAACTGCTCATCAGGGAACTCGTCCACTGAAACATACATTGTAGGCCACAACTTGCTTCTTGCACACGCCTCTGTTTCAAGACTATATAAGCAAAAGTACAAGGTATATATAATTCTTTACATAACCTTCTCTTGGATGTGTGAATTGATGACAAAGGAGCAACATGTTATATATACCGTGCAGGAAAAGCAAGGAGGTTCTGTAGGGTTTAGCTTATATGCATTTGAATTTGTTCCTTATGCAAGCTCCTCTAAGGATGATGAAATTGCAATTCAAAGAGCCAAAGATTTCTTCTACGGCTGGTGAGTGTAGGCACATAAAAGTGATATTTTCAAATTGGGAAACATATCTAAGGCTTTAAGCTAAAAGAAGTAATCTGCTCTTTATAACTTAGGACACTTGGGCCTCTTACATTTGGAGACTATCCCGATGAAATGAAAAGAGCTGTGGGATCAAGACTGCCAATTTTCTCCGAGGAAGAATCAGAACTAGTTAAAAGGCTCGTCCGACTTCATAGGGATCATGCACTATTTTCCGGCTTTTGTCGAAGACATCAAAGTGGAACCTTCTCTTTCAAGAAACCCGGATTTCTACTCAGACATGGGTGTGTCTTTGACTTGTAAGAATCAAAAGTCAAATCTTCTGAATAACAAAAAAAAACTCTTTTGTCTTTGCTAATTCTCTCTTTACTGCTTGTGGGGGACAGACCTTCGCAATATTTCAGATTTCGGGGTAAGAGTTTTAAGGCTACCAAATTCAGATGCTAAACTCTTAACATTCATTCTTTCTGAGTTGTTTTGTTTTTGTTTGGACAAGTATGATATTGTTCCATGGGCTATGGAAAGTGTCCTGGAATATATAAAGCAGACCTATGGCAATCCTCCTGTCTGCATTCTTGAGAATGGTCTCCCTTTCTCTATTCTTATCTCTCTCCCTCTTGTTTTTTTGTATAATTCCTCTCAATTCCTTAGCCAATGTAAACGAATAGGTACACCAATGAAGGGGAAGCGAGATTTGCAGCTGGAACAGAAGGACACACGCAGGATTGAGTACTTACATGCTTACATTGGTGCTGTACTCAAAGCCGTTAGGTAATTAGTAAAGTGTTTCTTACTGCATCTTATCTTCTCTGCTCTTGTCTGTGTAATAAAGAAAGAAATAAAAACATTATTACGTGTAGGAATGGATCAGACACGAGAGGTTACTTCGTATGGTCATTTATGGATTTGTTCGAGTTAATAGGTGGATACGAGCTTAGTTTTGGATTATACTCTGTCAATTTCAGTGATCCTCATCGAAAGAGATCTCCCAAACTCTCTGCTCACTGGTACTCTGATTTTCTCAAAGGCAAAACCACTGTTTTTGGTTCCCAAGGCATCATCACACAATTGCTTAGCAACTTCTCTTCTTCCTCCTTGTAGTGAATTGCATTTCTGATGAATCCGGCTCAGTTTGATAAAGTCCGGTTATGTAATGAATAAAAAATACCAAGTTTATGTTTATATACCTAAGAACAACAATCGTTTAATTAGTTTATAATTGTGAGAGATTCCTTAAAATACAAGAATCTCTAGAAGATAAAGTTTGGATCTCGAAATTAGTGGAAGCTTATTGCTCACCACTCAAAATGTTTGAGCCCCACGACTTTGAGAAAATATTGGTCAAAAGTTAAACCATAAATAAAATAAAAAAATCAGATTAAAAAAGAATACTTGAAGAGAAAATTTCATAAGCAAACAAATAGGGGTTCCAAAATATCCGGATTAACTTTTGATAAAAATAAACTAAATATTTGACTTCTTTTGTTTTCTTTTGATTTACATAAACTAGGTATATAAGAACGCACTCTTCCAAAATGTTAAAATATCTCAATTCCCCACTTAGGAAAAGAATTAGTGCACGAACCTAATTTATTTAGTTCCCATATTAAAACTCTCTAGAAAGATTCGTCGATTGGCTCGTTAGCTTTCCTATTTTCGATATATATGATTCTAATCCATTTAGTACTTCCGTTGGATTTTACATATTCCAACCAAAGTTGGTAATTGTGTATTGAACGAGAACTAGGGTTAGGTGAGAAACTTTATATGGTACTCGAACATCAGGTCAACATTTTCTTTTTTATAACAAAATCATATTTATTTATATGGAAATAGAAAAACGGCAAAACAAAAAAAGATTCTGCAAATGATGTTAAGAAAAAAAAGATTCTGCAAATATAGAATCTTATAAAGCCAGAATCTCCTGATAATTCGCATTTCCAATAATAGCCCGATATTTTCGCATCCTCCGTTTTTTTACCAAAAACAATTTCCAAAGCATAGCAAAGTCAAGCACACACCTACTACCCCCACCTCTCTCCCTATATATAAATACTTGCAGGAATCTCTTTAGTGTTACCAAAAAAAAAGTCTATTATTCTTTCAGATTCCTAAAAAATGTCTTCACTTGCAGATTTAATCAATCTCGATCTCTCCGATTCCACTGACCAGATCATCGCCGAGTACATATGGTTCGTATATTTCTTCATTGATCTCTGTCAATTTCAGCGTTTGAAGTTGAGTTTGCGTACAAAATAACATATATTCTTTGTGATTTTCATTTATAATACTAGATCAAAAAGTTTGCTTTGAGTTTGTGTTTGTGTCTAAAAAAAATAACATTCTTGAGGCTTTTTCTTAAACATGAGTCAAAAGTTTAAAACTTTGTCTCATCTACTACGTTGAAAGATTTTGTGTGTTTGGTGAATAGGATTGGTGGATCGGGCTTGGATATGAGAAGCAAAGCAAGGGTAATTATAAAAATTTAAATTTTACTATGTTTTTTTGTTTTTTGGTTTTCGTACGTAGAAATAAAGGATTGGTAAATGTTTTTTAAAAAGAGTTAAGAAAAGGAAATCATTATATTGTTATTGCAGACTTTACCAGGACCAGTGACGGATCCATCGGAGTTACCGAAATGGAACTACGACGGTTCAAGCACCGGCCAAGCTCCCGGCGATGACAGTGAAGTCATCATCTAGTACGTTTAAAATTTTAATTATTTTTTAATAATTAATGAAATTTGTAAATCGTGAATTAATATTAGTTTGGTTTTTTTGTATTTGTTGTTTTAGCCCTCAAGCTATCTTCAAAGACCCCTTCAGAAGAGGCAACAACATCCTTGTAAATGAAAACTCAATAACACAATCTCCTTATGAAATTTTCTTTAAACTCAATCCTTGTATAGTTTTTAAATTTTTATTCTTGGGATTGATTTGGGTATTAGGTGATGTGTGACGCATATACACCGGCCGGAGAGCCGATTCCGACGAACAAAAGGCATGCGGCCGCTAAGATCTTTAGCGACCCTAGTGTTGTCGCCGAAGAAACATGGTAAATATCTTAAAATGAAATGATTATTCTAATTATCGTTCCAAACTATAGTTTTGCATAGTTCATATATTTCTTAGAACCAAATAATTATAAACATATAAACAATTTTACATATGTAAGAATAAAACTATCATTTGCACCTAAAATAAAACAGAATAATGAATGGTATATATTTTTTTTGAAATCTAATGGTTAACCATCTTTTGAAGGATTTGTTTTTTTACCATTTATAATATATTTTCAAAATTGTAACTGTTTTTTTTTTTTGGATAGAAAGTGTTTCACAAGGTTTTTTTTTTCCTCAAACCCCATACATTAAGTTATGGGCAGTAATTGGCGTCACTTGCACTATAGGGTTCGGGGTTCCTCTCGGGATAGAAAGTGTGTCACAAGGTTTTTTTAAAGATCAAATATTGAAATTCAGGTACGGAATTGAGCAAGAGTACACTTTGCTGCAAAAGGATATTAAGTGGCCGGTAGGTTGGCCGGTCGGCGGTTTCCCAGGTCCTCAGGTAAAGCTTTTTCCGGCGATCAATTTAAAATCCATATTGACCTCAAAACCAAATAAGAAAAAACAAATCTTTCTCAATAAAAACAGGGACCGTACTACTGTGGAGTTGGAGCAGACAAAGCCTTTGGAAGAGACATCGTAGATTCTCATTACAAAGCTTGTCTTTACGCCGGAATCGATGTCAGTGGCACTAACGGCGAAGTTATGCCCGGCCAGGTTTACTTTTACCCTTTTTTTCTTCTGATTCAATATCGAGTTTATCGATTTCAGAACAAGAAATCAAATCCTTGAAACTAATCTTGTGTGGCTTTCAGTGGGAGTTCCAAGTCGGTCCTACCGTTGGAATCGCTGCCGCTGATCAGGTCTGGGTCGCTCGTTACATCCTCGAGGTATATATAAACAAAACACTCATGGCGGTTTATACACACTTTCTCTCTGTTCCTTATATACTTTGTTTTATGACTCTGTTTCTTATATACTCTGTTTTATGACTCTGTTTCTTATATACTCTGTTTTATGACTTTGTTTCTTGGATATGTGAAAACAGAGGATCACAGAATTGGCTGGAGTTGTTCTGTCTCTAGACCCTAAACCAATTCCGGTTTGTATTTTTGTTTTCCACCTAACAGTAAAAATATAAACAAAAATATTTGGTTCAGTAAAATTCACTCAATTACTCTGTTTTTGTTTTCTACTTCAGGGAGATTGGAATGGTGCAGGAGCACACACAAATTACAGGTCTGCTCTGGTTCTTGTTTATATGATTATTGCTCTGTGTTTTTGTTTTTTTCTCAGTTGGGATTTTCTTTTTGTGCAGTACGAAGTCGATGAGAGAAGATGGAGGGTACGAGGTCATAAAGAAAGCGATAGAGAAGCTTGGATTGCGTCACAAGGAACACATTGCTGCTTATGGTGAAGGCAATGAGCGTCGTCTCACAGGAAAACATGAGACCGCAGATATCAACACTTTCTTATGGGTAAGAATCTTTACTAAACTCATAATAAGCCTCTTTTAAAACAGTTACATGAATTGGTTTTTGTTTCATCACCATTGTACAATTTTCATATCACATGACCCTAAACCACAATCTAACTAAACCGGTTTTTACAGGGTGTGGCAAACCGAGGGGCATCGATTAGGGTTGGGCGTGACACTGAGAAGGCTGGAAAAGGATACTTTGAAGATCGTAGGCCAGCTTCGAACATGGATCCTTACACTGTGACCTCCATGATTGCTGAATCCACAATCCTTTGGAAACCATGAAAGAAGAAACCTTGAGCTTCAAGGAATCTCTAATATCAGTTCATGTTCATTCATCTATGGTCTCTTTTTTTTTTTTTTGTTTTGGTAAAAATCTATGGTCTCTTTCTCATTCTGAAACAGTTCTCATGTCTTCTTTGTTTAAAATGTTTGATTTGAAGTTCTGGGAATAATATTTACTCCAGCTTTTACTTTCTTATATTTCTAAATCTCTACAAAATTCAGATTTTAGTTTTAGATAGACCGGGACGTATGAACCGAATTTGCAAATATGTCAGGCTTCTCCGTTACTAAAAATCCTAAAAATCACACCAAGATACATCCAAAAAATGATTTAATACAGTATATCTATTGGGCCCAATTCGGTTTTATGGACTCAAATTTATAACCATACAATATAGAAAGCCTTTCCTATAACAAAGCAAATCCAAAGGTCTGAGTCTAGAAGACACAAAATCAAAGTACACGAATCTTATGCTATTTTGATACTTGGAAAAAAAATTCTTAAACCTAGCCTCTTATGAACATAAATCAGTTGGTGATCTGGCTTGATTTTTCAACGAATACCTCTCTCCAGGGACTTATGAATAGACTTTATATCGTGTTCGTCATTTTTTGCCTACGAAATTCATCAAAACCAATTAGTTTTGTATTATTTAATCCAACATATATAGAGTGTTTGGGCCCAATTCTATTCGGCTTCAAACAAAAAAGCTAGGATTGACTCTCTTTTTTCCCGTCAAGGATTTGGTTTAGGGCAAGACTAAATCGGACAAGATTTATAAATTTTTTTGGGTCAGTTCTCTACTTTTTTTGTTCGTCGATTTTTTCTTTCTCAGATGTGTTTACGATTTAATTTTTTTTTTTGTACCAAACTCAAACACGAGTCGTGGCCCAGCTCAAATAAAACTTAGAAGCTCTAAACTACTTTGGGATAGACCCGTCCGATCGACTAAAACTTTATTTTATTATCCACTGGTTAAGACTCGTCTGGTTGGTCCATGTTAAGATAAAGTCTCGTCCATTATGATTCCACAATATTGGATAATTGGTACTAGACTTTGTTTTTTGAAAAAAGAAAAATTAAAAGGTTTAAAATTTACCCATGTTATAAGAATAAAAAAATCTGCATGTAAAAGATTGACATGCATGCATGTTCACATAAATTACATGTATACAGATATAGTTTGGAAGAAGCTCTGTGAATTCTTTGGGGGATTTAAACATATATATATAGAAAAAAATAGTAGAAGTCGAAGAAGTAAATGCTTTGAGGGTTGAATTGAAACAAACGAGTCAGCAAAAGTTAGTATAAAGTTACTGTGGTATGTGTTGTGTCTAAATAGGACAATGCAATGCATGCATGCATTCGATTATCATTTAGTCATTATACCTTCATCATCTTGCAGCTTTTTTTTTTTTTAAACTTTTGCTTTTTTTTCCTTCCCTTGACTTTATCTTTTATTTTATTTTAATTTGTCAGATATAAGTGAGAACACAGAGGGGAAAAAAGCTTTGGGAAAAGCACTTTTTTTATTGAATATTTACTTTTTTTCTCTTCTACTTTTTAACAGCTTTAGAGAAAGAAAAACAAATTCCAACCCAATAATAACTTTTTCACTTATTATTAATTGCTCGCTCTCTCTCTATAAAATAAAAGAAAATAAAAATAAAATAAAGGAGCAATCATAAAGCAATCGATTACAAAATGATTTCATCACCTCTCACATCAAGCTATCTTTTCTGCAATGGGCAGAAAAGTCCTGTGCCCTTCTGTCTCTTCACATTTATCACTCTTTTTACATTGAATTGCTCCTTTTCTTCCTCTCTCTTCTTGCTTTCTCTCTCTCAACCTTAAACTTACATCAATTAATTAAGATTTTGATCCATTTATGCTGACTTTGCGTATTGGAATTTTGAGATATTCCAACATTTATGTCAATTTTTTATATAGTGCCCACTTTTTAACATCTTGCGGAAAAGCTCATTTAGATTTCATACCTACTTAGAAAAATCCATATCAACGTACGCATAAATGTGATGGGTTTATAGATAGAGTTGTTATAAAAACTCTCATAAATGTGACGTGCTTATAGATTGTGTTTGTTGATGTATATTATCGCCTTTCTTAATCTTTCAATTGCAAAACATGATTTAATAGAATTTTTCTAATGCAATTTTTAAATACTTCATATATAAAGTAATGTCTAAATTTAACATAAATACTATTTATTTTATTTTATTTTTGTAATTTGACATAATTCAAGTCAACATCATATTGGGCGTTTCATGCCCAATCACAACTCACTTAAGCCACCTGACTAAATTGTAGAAGTGGACAAGTTCGAAGTTCGAACTAAAAAACTTAGTTCTCTTCTCTCCCATCCTAATCTCTTTGTTGGAGCTGTTCTAATTGAGCCTAGATCTGCAACTCTTTCTCCCTTTCCTTTCTCTTCCAAGCATAAAGCTTAGATATCTTTAAAGGTTCTTCTTCTTCAAGAGATCTGTTAGTCTTTTCATCTTTGATGATTCTAAAGACTATTTCTAGCTTTATGCTAAGTATTGAAGATGTTTTCTCCAGTCTCTCACAAGAAAACGAAATTGAAATTGAAACTCTTATCTAGCTTTATGCTAAGAGAAATAAGCGTTCTCAAGAATTTTTGCTCTCTCTCTATCTTGGGATTTCTTCGGATGGATCCAACATCGCCGAAGCAAAGTTATCTCCAACGGCTCAGTATTTTCCGGCGTGTTTTCCGGCGTGTTTTCCAGCTAACCTTTCTCATTTATATGAAGATTTCTCGGCGATTAAAGTCTCTTGTGGTATTAAGTCCTCTCTCAGAGGTCCCCGCTTGGTTGGAGCTGTTAAAGCGTCAATATCTTCTCTCGCTACGAACAGATCCGAACCAGGGTAGCTCAGTTGAAGCTATGGCTTGCCGGCGTCGTTGGCGGAGACGATTCTTCGGATACTCCTCAGCCGGCGACTTCTTCTCGGGTTCTGGTTTCAATACCCGAAGATTCCTCTATCTTTTCGGGAAGAAATTTATTACACTCTTGTTGATGATTATTCTCGAGTCTCCGGAATCTCTCTCACTGCCTTCTCCGGTATTTTTTGGCCGAGTAAAGAAACTGTTGCGACCACCGTTTGCGGCTCAGCTCCGGCGACGAGCACAAGATCCGTCAATTTCACGACCTATTTTTCCGTTCATTAGTTTTGGAATGAAGATGCTTTGGGCCTGGCCCACTAGGTTGAAGTCTTGGCTTTTTCTTGGTCCAATAAAAATTATGTATCCTAAACCCACTAAAGAAAGACTATCCCGACAATCTTCCTATATGGAAAGAACATTTAGGCAAATGTACTCTATTTTAGAGTTTTTCTGGAAATTAAATCAAGGAGTTTTCAACAAAATAAGATGTCAACGTTTATTTGTGATGATGGTACGAGTTGCTTTAATTGCTGCCCTCGGCATGAAGAAGCTGTTCTCATTAAAACTTAAAGGTAGCAATCCGAGCTTTTCAAAAATGTTGATCTCAAGAAACGCAGTTTCTTTCCCTCAGATCGAGGAGTTTTCTTTTTCAAAATCCAAAGACACACGAGGCAATGTTAGTACGGTGGGGTATCAAGCTCCCTCCGGAATTAAGACATGAGGACTTTGGCGTGGAATTGTCAAGGGGCGAAAGCAAAAGAAACTTCTCGTCGACTGGTAGAGTTGTGTCGTATGTACTCTCCAGGTTTCATGTTTTTATCAGAGACCAAGAATGACAAAATGTATCTGCAAACTTTGCAAGTTGATCTTGGATTTGACAACCTCCACACTGTTGAACCTGATGGTACTAGTGGAGGTTTAGCTTTATTTTCTTCTAAAGAATATCCGATTAAGTTTTTGTTGTTAGATGATCGATTAATCGACATCGAAACTATCATTAACGGTAATCGAGTTTTTATGACTTTTATCTATGGTGATCCTGTTGTCTCAAATCGTGATTATGTTTGGGAACGACTAATGCGTATCGGTGTCTCTAGACCCGAAGCTTGGTTTATCATTGGAGACTTTAATGAGATAACAGGCAATCATGAGAAAAGAGGAGGCAAAAAGCGCTCTGAAGCCTCCTTTCTACCTTTCCGTGCTATGATCCATTCGTGTGGACTTATTGATTTTCCCTTTCATGGAAATCAATTTTCATGGATTGGACAACGGTCAAATGGTAAGATTCGATGTCGCTTAGACAGAGCCATGGGGAATGAAGAATGGCATAATATTTTTTCCCACACTAATGTGGAGTACTTAAAGATGTGGGGTTCGGATCATAGACCACTTCTAGCATCTATACAATCAAGTCCGAGAAAGTCCTCGAGAAAATTCATGTTTGATAAAAGATGGATTGGAAAACCGGGACTCAACGAAGCAGTGTTGGAAGGATGGAATGGAGAGAACGGTCGGGTCGACCGACCCTTAATGAAAAAAATCCAAAACTGTAAACGAGTTATCTCCATATGGAAGAAATCAACGCGAACTAATTCTGAGATACTTATCAAGGAACTCCATGATAAAATTGAGGAAAATTACGCAGACGATAACGCATCCTTGGATGAACTTCGGGAGCTCAAAAGACAATTGGGCGATGCCTATACAGAGGAAGAAATATTTTGGTACCAAAAGAGTCGCCAAAATTGGCTAGCGCTTGGTGATAAAAACACAAAATATTTTCACGCTTTAACGAAACAACGAAGGGCGAAGAACAAGATTTTAGGCATTCTAGATGATAATGGGACGTGGGTGGATAATGAAGATGGCATCGAAAAAGTCGCGGTGGATTATTTTGAAAACTTGTTTACTTCATCGAACCCGAGGGATCCAGTCTCCGCCCTTAGAGACATCTCACCATCGGTTACCCCAGCTATGAATGAGTTCTTAGTCAAAGAAGTCACCGAAGAAGAAGTCAAGCGAGCCTTATTCTCCTTGAATCCAACTAAGACCCCAGGTCCGGACGGGATGACTGCTCTGTTTTTCCAAAGGTTTTGGGAAGTCATAAAAGGCGATCTCACCAATATGGTGAAGAACTTCTTTAGCTCCGGAATCTTTGATGGGAAGCTGAATGAGACCAATATTTGTCTTATCCCTAAAGGTGAAAGACCGCGAGAAATGTCTGGTTTTCGTCCTATTAGCTTATGTAATGTTAGCTATAAGGT